ATTTTTGACCCTGCGTTGCTGTCGTCATCTGCTGCAAGCGAGTTGTCATCTCTCTCGAGTCGTTGTTCAGCTCGTTTCAGCCTTGCCTCGGCTTCCTTGATCACACTCCGCTGAACTTGATGTTACCGTCGTTGAAGTACGTTGGCTTTCAAGCAGCGTGATCCGCCGCGGTGGCGATTACTCATTTCCACCAGAGAGTCGTAAAAATATTTTACGACTGTTTACTAATATTTTACGACTCCCTGGTTGTGCGAGATTTATGAGTGTCAGTTGTCATATTGTCAAGGAGGGAGTGTGCGAGATTTACGAGTGTGATTTTGAGTGTGATTGGACAGGACACTGCACTGAAATAGAATGAGTGTTGTTGGGATAACATCATTTACGAGTGTGTTGTTACAATACAGTGTTTGTTGTGCGTGTTTGTCGGATACGCCAATATAATCAGTTGCATAGATAATACTTACGTTGTTGCTTGCATTCTCGCTCTCCACAGCAACTCCATTGCGTGCTGCGTTCTATGTATTCCTATTCTGTACACTGACTCTCTCTGACAGGGTTTGCTGTCACCCTGTCTCTGGGCGCAAGCACCCTCTGACAGACCAAACTGATTTGCTTCATCTCCACAATATTTATCTCCTTTCGATTTGAATTTCTGTTTGTTCTGCACTCTGATTTTTCCTTGTTGCACCTGCGCTTTTGTACGCGGAACTTTGCTGTCGCCATCGCGTCGCCATTATTTATATCCATGGTTACGTGGTGGTATGACTCATCGATGCATCATGCGCGCATGATCATTCTTCTTTTCTACTCGTACACTTCGATATGCATGCACGCACACTGATGTACACGTACACGTAAGCCAATGCACGCACGCGAGCACGTTTTGCTGATGACAGCGATTTGGCGATCGTTGTTGTTGTTTTTTGGTTGATTTGAGAGTATGGTTGAAACCAATAAGTAAATACAGTCTTCTAGTTGTCTCCACGAAAAGGCCAGGAAATCGCGCCACAACAGGGGTCTGAAGACCGCGTAGTTTTTAGTTGTGGTCGATAATTTCACATGGTCTAAACTACGCGGTCTTCAGACCCCTGTTGTGGCGCGATTTCCTGGCCTTTTCGTGGAGACAACTAGAAGACTGTATTTACTTATTGGTTTCAACCATACTCTCAAATCAACCAAAAAACAACAACAACGATCGCCAAATCGCTGTCATCAGCAAAACGTGCTCGCGTGCGTGCATTGGCTTACGTGTACGTGTACATCAGTGTGCGTGCATGCATATCGAAGTGTACGAGTAGAAAAGAAGAATGATCATGCGCGCATGATGCATCGATGAGTCATACCACCACGTAACCATGGATATAAATAATGGCGACGCGATGGCGACAGCAAAGTTCCGCGTACAAAAGCGCAGGTGCAACAAGGAAAAATCAGAGTGCAGAACAAACAGAAATTCAAATCGAAAGGAGATAAATATTGTGGAGATGAAGCAAATCAGTTTGGTCTGTCAGAGGGTGCTTGCGCCCAGAGACAGGGTGACAGCAAACCCTGTCAGAGAGAGTCAGTGTACTGAATAGGAATACATAGAACGCAGCACGCAATGGAGTTGCTGTGGAGAGCGAGAATGCAAGCAACAACGTAAGTATTATCTATGCAACTGATTATATCGGCGTATCCGACAAACACGCACAACAAACACTGTATTGTAACAATACACTCGTAAATGATGTTATCCCAACAACACTCATTCTATTTCAGCACAGTGTCCTGTCCAATCACACTCAAAATCACACTCGTAAATCTCGCACACTCCCTCCTTGACAATATGACAACTGACACTCATAAATCTCGCACACTGGTTTCATCTCCGCTCTCCAGAACTCCGCAAAACGAGGAGTAAAGGCACAGCCAAACTGATTCCATTTTCTCAGATGGATACTCCTGCAAGCACTGAACGGCAGTGGCTAGCAAGTCCAGTCGACTTTTCTTAACCACAAGGCTCGCGTCGGACTGCAGACTTCTGAAAGAATGCATGGTCATCCGCGTTGCTGTCGTCATCTGCTGCAAGCGAGTTGTCATCTCTCTCGAGTCGTTGTTCAGCTCGTTTCAGCCTTGCCTCGGCTTCCTTGATCACACTCCGCTGAACTTGATGTTACCGTCGTTGAAGTACGTTGGCTTTCAAGCAGCGTGATCCGCCGCGGTGGTGATTACTCATTTCCACCAGAGAGTCGTAAAAATATTTTACGACTATTTACTAATATTTTACGACTCCCTGGTTTCATCTCCGCTCTCCAGAACTCCGCAAAACGAGGAGTAAAGGCACAGCCAAACTGATTCCATTTTCTCAGATGGATACTCCTGCAAGCACTGAACGGCAGTGGCTAGCAAGTCCAGTCGACTTTTCTTAGCCACAAGGCTCGCGTCGGACTGCAGACTTCTGAAAGAATGCATGGTCATCCGCATTCGAATCTGGGCTTTCCGCAGGTTGAAAAGAACTTGAATCACTTGATTTCATTGCGCCGTGGGTTCGGAGCAGCCCCTTGTTCACTCGCTCACTGTGTGGGCTCGCTGCTCCGTTCGGTCGCTCTCTATCACTCTCAAACTCAGTCCTAGTGCAGTAGAGAGGTCAAGCAGCGCATTATCCCATCGGAGAAGTGATATTTCAGTTTCGCTCGCCATGACTGTCATCACCTATGTTGCCACAGCGCAACCATCGGTTCTGCTCAGTTTGTTGTGAAAGGTCGCTTTCCTTGCATCGTACCTCTTTCATGGCATGCCAGGAAAGGCCAAGAAAGTGATCGCGACTCGTTTCACGATAATTTGTGCGCAAACCAGTCCTTCAAAAATCCATCACGAAGTTTTTATAAACGGAGGAAGTAAGAACAAGCAGAGTTGAGTAGAAAGAGCGCGCGGAGAGGTGAGAAAGGTGTGAAACGCCACACATGTATTACTTGTTACTTGTGTGGTTGCTATACAGTCAACTTTGCGTATAACGACACTCGGCGGGGCATCAGAAAAGTGTCCTTATTCTCGAAGTGTCCTTATACCCGAAGTCTCATCATATGTATTACAGTTGGATGGGACTTTGCTCTGGGCATGGAAATTCTGTCGTTATTCGCGAATTGTCGTTATATCCGCAGTCGTTATAAGCGAAGTTGACTGTATATGTACATGTATGACCAGGATATTTGCTGTATAGTTGGATGTTTAGCAGCATACAAAGAGTGGGGCATGCGAAGGTGCCAATTTCTGTCCTGCATCTTTGTTACATGTAGTTGTACTCTTTCGTGTTTGTTTTTTTCCTGTTTGTATGTGTGTGTGTGTATGTGTGTGTCTGTGTGTGTGTGTGTGTGTGTGTGTGTGTGTGTGTGTGTGTGTGTGTGTGTGTGTGTGTGTGTGTGTGTGTGTGTGTGTGTGTGTGTGTGTGTATGTGTGTGCTATATGCCTATGAACATTTGTTCTATGGTTGATTGTGGTGGCTTCGCAGAGGCTGGGGTTTGTCAGATGGGTAAGTGCCATTTTAGGCCCGGACCTCTGAGAGCTGTTCCCTTTGCTTCCCCAGACGTAGATCTATAGTGGGCGCTCTCTGCTATCTTATGCATATTTCCGATCTCACGCAGAAGTCAGAATTTTTGGTTACCACTCCGGATTTAACACTATGCTATTCTGTACTGGGCTGTTTTTTGTTTTCACTTTCACTTTTGCTTTTTCCTGTGTGTGTGTGTGTGTGTGTGTGTGTGTGTGTGTGTGTGTCTGTGTGCATGTGCATATGTGTGTGTGTGTGGGGGGGGGGGGGGTTGTGTTTATGTATGTGTGTGCGTGTGTGCGCGTGTGTGTGTGTGTGTGTGTGTGTGTGTGTGTGTGTGTGTGTGTGTGTGCGTGTGTGTGTGTGTGTGTGTGTGTGCGTTCGTGCGTGCGTGTGTACATGCGTGCGTGCACGTGTGTGTGTGTGTCTGTGTGTGTGTGTGTGTGTGTGTGTGTGTGTGTGTATGTGTGTCTGTGTGTGTGTGTGTGTGTGTGTGTGTGTGTGTGTGTGTGTGTGTGTGTGTGTGTGTGTGTGTGTGTGTGTGTGTGTGTGTGTGTGTGTGTGTGTGTGTGTGTGTGTGTGTGTGTGTGTGTGTGTGCAATATGCCTGTGTACATTTGTTCAATGGTTGAACGTGGTGACTTCGCAGATGTTTCAGTGGACGGACATATTGGTAAGAGCCATATTGTGTCCAGGATCTCTGAAAGCTGTTCTCTTTGCTTACCACAGATGTAGAACTATAGTGGGTGCTCTCTGTGTATTCTTAGTGTGTATATTACCGATCCCACCCAGAAGTCAGAATTTTCGGTTTAATACTACTCCGTGTGTTTCACGCTATGCTATTATGTAATCATCTGGTTCTGTGAGTGCCTGGGTGGAATTTGCTTAGTCTTGGACTATTTCAGTCTGCCTATGTTTTTTTCTTGGTCTGTGAGACATCTTCGTGAGTAAATGGCTGATATAGGTATCTTAAATAAAAAGGGGTTTTGTCAACTGACAACCTCTCTATTTAGTTGCTATTCTCTCTTTGCGGATGCGCTGGATTTTTTTTGTTAGTGATGTCGAAAAAGTATCTTGTTGATTTTATTGCATCATGCATATTATGTATCCAAGGTGGGTTTATTAGTGAATGCTAGTGTTTGGTTTCTTTAGTAGAACACTGTGAGTACAGTCGTGGCCAAAGAAATGCAACCAAACTATTCAAAAGTAACACAGTGTTTCCATTTCAATTACATCATGCACGCTCCAAGAACCTCTCTGAGGACTTTAGGGGCCGTAAGGGCTTTGGCACTGGTTTCGGCTCACGGGTTCGATTTCTTTGTCCACGACTATACATCAGAAGCATATCTACATGTCCATGCATATTATGCTGTTGTAAGGTTTGCTGCTTACCAATGACTTTCATATTTTTCCTTGTGTTCCATGACTGGGATCATCGGCTAAATTGTGGGCTGCGGTGAATTTCACAGACCCCAAGACGGGTAAGTAACTAGAAGTGACGCGCTTCTTTGATATCTGTTTTGTTCTGTTTGGTCACAATAACGTTGTCAGAGGAAGGGATATGGTATGGGTGTGTGTTGGTCTTCTTGTGTCAAGTTGATAAGAAGCATAACTTTTTCTTTGCTATAGTATTGTGATGATGAGACACTTTCAGTTTTGAACGCTTTTCCTTAGTCCTTTCTGTGTGTAACAGGTGTATTTATCCTAAGATACTCTTTCATAAGGCTTCCTGCCTTGAAACTATAAATTGAACGTATCCTCTGAGAGTCCTGGGGACTGTTAAGCCAGGGCAGCTAACTTGTATGTGTATGTGTGTGTGTGTGTGTGTGTGTGTGTGTGTGTGTGTGTGTGTGTGTGTGTGTGTGTGTGTGTGTGTGTGTGTGTGTGTGTGTGTGTGTGTGTGTGTCCCATATGGTGCAGTGGTATGTGCATCGATTTCCAATCGATAGGCTGCGGGTTCGATTCCCGACGATTATGGTCACACACGTCTTTCTTCTCTTTCTCAGACTCTTCCTGACTTTTCTTTCATTCTCCTGGGTGGTTACCAACAGCCAGTGCATGACGGAGTATGTGGTGTGATGGTGTGTGCGGGTAAAAAAAATGAAAAGACCAAAAATAGGGATTCACTGGCCAGAAAAAGTCACTTCAAATAGCTGTATGGTGTAGACCAGGCTGAATAGTGACGGTCAATTCTTCAGCCTTGCAAGCTGTTGAGTGGTGCAATCCCAGCACAAGTTGCTATGGCTTCTGCCGTAGCATTGCTATCATCGCCTCCAGCGATGGGCGTCAAAAGGTCACAAGGTGTGTGTGTGTGTGTGTGTGTGTGTGTGCGTGCGTGCGTGCGTGCGTGTGTGTGTGTGCGTATGTGTGCGTGTGCGCATGTGTGTGTGTGTGCGTGTGTGCGCATTCGCGCGTGTGTGGGTGCATCCGTACATGCGTGATGAAGGGATCTGAAATAGGGTTTGGTTAATCTCCTTTCGTAAGTGCACAATGAATAAGCATATACCCTTCGGAATGATTTGACACTTCAGTACAGGCTTTCAATGCGACCAGGACATGTGCTGTATATTTCAAAGCACATATAATTGGATGCGTTGTGGCAGGCAAAGATTGAGGTAGAAGAAGGTGCCGTTTCTGTCCAGAATATTTGACACATGTAGGTGATCTCTTTAAATTTTTTCCTGTGTGTGTGCTATATTCCCGTGGACATTTGTTCAATGGTTGAATGTGGTGACAACGCAGATGAACCGGGAGGAATTGGTAAGTGCCATATTGGGTCTAGGACCTTTGATAGCTGTTCTCTTTGCTTCCCCAGACAGAGCTATTGTAGGTGCTCCGTGTTATCTTATGCATTTTACCGATCTCACGCAGAAGTCAGAATTTTTGGTTACCACTCCGGGTTTAACACTGTGCTATTCTGTACTGGGCTGTTTTTTGTTTTCTCTTTCACTTTCACTTTTTCCTCTGTGTTTGTATGTGTGTGTTTGTGTGTGTGTGTGTGTGTGTGTGTGTGTGTGCGCGCGTGCGGGCCCGAGTGTGGGGTGCGCGGGCAGGTGGGCCGGCGGGTGGGCGTGCGTGCTTGCGTGTGTAGTATTATGGTGATAGTGCAGATTAATGGGTGCACGCAGGTTTGTGCTCAATCTATGCTGCTATGATTGATAGTGCTGTTACTGCATGCTCATGCTTTACTGCTGGCTACGGTTGCGTGCTCTGCACATCACGGTGATCAAGTCGACCAAAATAACATAGAGCATGCCCATCTGGTACTCTAAGTGGCTTTGCGCTCTACGTGACATTGAACGTGACTCTCTACATGGCATTCATGCGTGGCACTCGCCTCCGATGTGGGCGGCGTGCGACGTGGCGTCACCATGGCATTTGTATGTGGCACTCAACGTGGGCGACATGCAACCTTCCTTCGACGTCACACTCGACGTGACTTGCTAGAGTTTGCCTTGCTATATATTTCGATCCGTTCCTTGTGTGGATCATTCTTGTTTGCTCGTAGTGTTTCACCCTCCCACCTCCCATTTCTCATCACTAATTTACTTTGATAAAGTGAATAAATGGGGTGTTGGCCACGCTCATTTCCGGCTAATCAGGGCCCTCGGTCGCCATCCCTCGGACGCAGACTCTTGCAGATACTTGGCTCCGCCAACATTCTGCTCCACCTGGCCAACCCTGAATCCTCTCTCATAGATACTTGGCTCCGCCAACATTCTGCTCCGGCAGTGTCTACGCATTTCTTTCCGTAGCCTCTCATTCCGCAGGCCGGCACTCCCCCGTACCGCAAGTTGCGGTGTGTTGTAGTTAATGTGTGTGTGTGTGTGTGTGTGTGTGCGTGCGTGCGTGCGTGTGCGTGTGTGTGTTATATACCTGTGGACATTTGTTGTATGGTTGAATGTGGTGACTTCACAGATCGCGGGTATCAGACACGGCGACATGGTAAGTGCCATATCGTGTCCAGGATCATTGAAAGCTGTTCTCTTTGCTTACCACAGATGTAGAACTATAGTGGGTGCTCTCTGTGTATTCTTAGTGTGTATATTACCGATCCCACCCAGAAGTCAAATTTTTTGGTTACTACTCCGCGCGATCCGTGTGTTTCACGCTATGCTATACTGTGCTTAGCTAGTTTTGTGAGTGCCTGGGTGGAATTTGCTTAGTCCCTAACTATTTCAGTCTGCCTTTGTTTTTTTCTTGGGCTGTGAGAGATCTACATGGGTAAATGACTGATATAGGTATAATTATTGTTGCCTCTCAGACAATAATGAGATGATACTCAGAAAAGAGACACACGTCAGGCTCTTTACGAACAAGTTGAAAGTTTCGGTTTCAAAAGTGTACTTTCAAGTCTCCTGAGCAGGTGAAATACAGGCAAAGGGAAAGGAACAAGAGCAGTGGATTAAGTACAATAGACGATGATAAAACAATGCAAAGAAGAAGATACGTATTAGTGGTTGCGACTTCGGCGATGATTTGTAAGAAAGGGTTTGCTCCCCACACTGGAGCTTGCGCTATTCCGCCGACTTGACTTGACATTTGACTGACTCACGACTGCGATCCAGAGAACACGAGAAGTCCATCGAAGTCGCCGAAGTCGCAACCACTATTTCGTACTGTTGTGCCCAGCGCGGGCTTGCGACTAGCTGGTTTGGAGGTGACAGCGTTGTGAATGACTGAGGGTCCTCGACGTCTGTTCTCACCGTCCAAGGGCGACACTGACTCACGCTGCTATCCGGTGTTTGCGGGGTGTTTGTCGTGCCGGAAACGGAGTGTCTCTGTAAGTTTGTATCCCTGTTGATGTTTGTGCCTGGAATAAGTGGTGCTCTTCAGGCACAATCTTCCTCAGCCTACTCAAGCTCAACTGTTGAGGGGTGAATTCCCCGAAACACTGTGTATTGAGCAGGGAGTGGTGCTTTCTCGCAGGTTTGCCCAGTCGAAGGTTCGATGGACTTCTCGTGTTCTCTGGATGGCAGTCGTGAGTCAGTCAAGTGTCAAGTGAAGTCGACGGAATAGCGCGAGCTCCAGTGTGGAGAGCAAACCCTTTCTTACAAAGAAGAAGATAGCTAAAATAAACAGCAAAAATACACGACCTATATACATAGCAATATTGAATAATGACACAAAGGTGCAAGTGTGAGAAAACCCCAAAAGCATGACATGTGGTGAGACAACAAGAGACAACCAATGGACATAACTAACGAGTTTTTTTGACGCACTAACTCAACAGCCTAAATGTAAATCTAATATAATAATTGAGAACAAAATTTCACGGTTCGCGTGAGACTCGGTTTCTCTATATAGAGGCCAAGTTTTCCGCATCCGTAGGAACGCCACCACCCTTCAAGGATCAAGGCGCAGATGCAGCTCCTAAAGCGGTGGGGAAAAAAGAAGAAGAACAAAATGATACCAGTTATGACTAACTGTCCACTAACGTAACCAGATCTTATACAGTTAGCGAATTGCGACAAAATGGCACAAAACTGACAAGGAGTACTGAGACATTCGGCTTGTCACAATTCGTCTTCGCTTAGCTTTCCCTTTCTAGGCTTATTACATAAACTTGAGCCTCCCAAGTTGGGTGGTCTGTTGCTTTGCGTCCTCGAGTTGCAGTAAGGCCGGTATGTCCAATAGTCTTACTAGTTTCGTCATCATCCAGTAACTTTCGGCATTCTTTGTTGCCGTGATCCGTAGCTCGTGCTCTTCTTCGTTGCGCTTTCCTTCCCCTCTTGGACCTTTCCGAACCTAAGCCTTCCAAGTTGGTTTGCGCCTTGGAGAAGTGTTGGAGCTAGGTGTCAGGTCGCCGGATGTCTCAGTGCTCCTTGTCAGTTTTGTGCCATTTTGTCCCACTTGCTGACTGTATAAGATCTGGTTACTTTGGGTCATAACTCGTAGCATTTTTCCTTCTTCTTTTCACAATAATTTAATTGGCTCACCATCCGAGTTAAATCTAATATAGAAGAATGATGAGATCGGCAACGGTGGCGGTGGCGGCGTCTAAAGCACTGGCAGAGACGACGGCTAAGGTACACACGCTTAGTCATTTGCTATCGGACATGTCCACCGCACTTGCTGATTGCTCTGATGTTAGTTCTGATAATTATGAGTCATCTATTGTTGTCATTTGTTTGAGCATCCTGATTGTCGTGCTGTATATTCAGACGATTGCTTTTCGATTGTGTCGCGTGTACGCAGTGCTAGGTTGCCGAATGTTTTGGAAGCTGTGTATATCCACACAAAAAAACCAACCTTTGCAACCAGAAGCAAATTAGATTTACACTTAGGCTGTTAGGTAGGTCGTCAAAAACTTGTTAGTTACGTCTATTGGTTGGTATGTGTGTATTATGTGTATAGGTCACGCATTTTTGCAGTTTTTTTGCAATCTTCTTCTTTGCACTGTTTCATCACCTTCTTTCTGTACTTATTGTTCCTTTCCCTTTGCCTGTATTTCACACGATGAGAAGCCTTGAAAGTACACTTGTGAAGCCGAAAACTTTCTAGATGTTCGTAAAGAGCCTGAAGTGTGTCCTTTTTCCGAGTATTATAGGCACCTTGTTGATTTTATTGCATCATGCATATTATGTATCCAAGGTGGGTTTATTAGTGAATGCTAGTGTTTGGTTTCTTTGGTAGAACTCTGTAAGTACAGTCGTGGCCAAAGAAATGCAACCAAACTGTTCAAAAGTAACACAGTGTTTCCATTTCAATTACATCATGCACGCTCCAAGAACCTCTCTGAGGACTGTAAGGGCCGTAAAGCTATGGCGCTGGTTTCGGCTCATGGGTTCGATTTCTTTGTCCACGACTATACATCAGAAGCACATCTTCATGTACATGCATATTATACTGTTGTAAGGTTTGCTGCTTACCAATGACTATCATATTCTTCTTTGTGCTCCATGACTGGGATCATCGGCTAAATTGTGGGCTGCGGTGAATTTCACAGACCTCAATGAAAAGACTAACGGTGAGTAACTAGAAGTGACGCGCTTCTTTGATATCTGTTTTGTTCTGCTTGGTGACAATTAGTAGCTGCCAGAGGAAGGGATATGATATGGGTGTGTATTGGTCTTCTTGTGTCAAGCTGATAAGAAGCATATCTTTTCGTTTAATTATTATGAAATGACGAGGCACTTGCAGCTTTGAACGCTTTTGCTTATTCCTGTGTGTGTGTGTGTGTGTGTGTGTGTGTGTGTGTGTGTGTGTGTGTGTGTGTGTGTGTGTGTGTGTGTGTGTGTGTGTGTGTGTGTGTGTGTGTGTGTGTGTGTGTGTGTGTGTGTGTGTGTGTGTGTGTGTGTGTGTGTGTGTGTGTGTGTGTGTGTGTGTGTGTGTGTGTGTGTGTGTGTGTGTGTGTGTGTGTGTGTGTGTGTGTGTGTGTGTGTGTGTGTGTGTGTGTGTGTGTGTGTGTGTGTGTGTGTGTGTGTGTGTGTGTGTGTGTGTGTGTGTGTGTGTGTGTGTGTGTGTGTGTGTGTGTGTGTGTGTGTGTGTGTGTGTGTGTGTGTGTGTGTGTGTGTGTGTGTGTGTGTGTGTGTGTGTGTGTGTGTGTGTGTGTGTGTGTGTGTGTGTGTGTGTGTGTGTGTGTGTGTGTGTGTGTGTGTGTGTGTGTGTGTGTGTGTGTGTGTGTGTGTGTGTGTAACAGGTGTATTTATCCTAAGATACTCTGTCATAAGGCTTCCTGCCATGAAACTATGACTTGAACCTATCCTCTGGGAGTGTCTTGTTGAGGATTGTTTATCCAGGGCAGCTAACATGTATGTGCGTGTGTGGGTTTTTTTGTTAGATCCGCTCTGATTGACGACATCAGGGTGTCCATCCCGGGATCCAACAGCAGTTACCCTTTTTCGGCGCCTTGTCCTCACCCACTTAGGGGCCGTCCGTAATAATCATCGATCTTTTTCACGAAGAGAAAAAAATGTCGCTTATAGGTGGCTGGGGTGAGGAGAGTCACAGTTCGTTTTGAAAATTATTGATAGCTGAAACATCAATCCACTTAAGCTGTCAAGTCACTATATTTTCGTTGATGGGGGTGGTTGGGTGGGAGAGGGTCATAACTAAACTTTTTCGTTCCTTGAAGATTATCGATAATACCAGATGGCCCCTTTCTGAGGTGTGGTGAGCCCATAAGTGGGATCATTTCCAAGTCCAGCCATAGTTTGGGGATTTCGGGGGGGGGGGGGGGGGGGGATGTCGGCCGTTGGGCGGTTCAATAGACACTTGAGTCATCTTTCCAAGATTCCTTTTTGAGTTTCTCTCCCCTCTCCCGGGGAGACTCGCATTGTGTGTGTGTGTGTGTGTGTGCGTGTGTGCTATATTTGTTCAATGGATGAATATGTGGTGACTACGCAGATGGATCTTCAGAAATTGGTAAGTGCCATATTATTATGTCCAGGATCTTTGAAAGCTGTTCTCTTTGCTTCCCCAGACGTAGAACTATAGTGGGAGCTCCCTGTTATCTTATGCATGCTACCGATCCCACCCAGAAGTCAAATTTTTTGGTTACTACTCCGTGTGTTTCACGCTATGCTATTATGTAATCATCTGGTTCTGTGAGTGCCTGGGTGGAATTTGCTTAGTCTTGGACTATTTCAGTCTGCCTATGTTTTTCTTGGTCTGTGAGAGATCAACATGATTGAAGTGCTGATATAGGCACCTTGTTGATTTTATTGCAGTGCTGCCAACCTTCCGTATTTGTACGGAAATTCACTCCTTTGTCCGTAGTATGGAAATTGACCGAAATTGTACGGAAAACTAAGAAGTATGGATCAGCTGACTATGAACCAGTTTTTCTACATGTACATGACATGGTACGCATGTCATGTACATGTACATGATGAGTGCAGTTTGAATGGATATGGCCTTGATTTATGAATACTAGTATGAGTACAGTCCTCCCTCTCTAATCCGGCATCTTTTGCAACGGCATTTTCTGCTGGATAAACAAGGGTGCTAGATTATCAAATCCTGCCCTCCAACCCGGCCCACATGTTATCATGCATGTTGTGTCGTAAATCAAGATGTGGGGATTTTCTGTGTTAAACCAAGTACTTTGTGGAATGCATGTCTATAACATACACATGGGAATATCTTATGCACTAGCATAGGATATTCCCAAGTGTACTTCGAAGTATGTTACATGTGCTGTGTATGTTACAATGCTCCCTGACAGTATGCGATGTAGAACTGCTGGATTAGAGAATCGAATTATGTACAATTGGAGTGATTTGTTGCAGAAAGTCGCTGCTGGAGGCGGAATTCAAGTGCCGGATTAAAGCGTAGAAAATGAACTGAAAAATTCCTTTTTCCAGAAAGTGTGCTGGTTTGCAAGGATGCTGGATAAACAAGTGCCGGATTAGAGAGGGACGACTGTATATCCTTGTCCTACCAAAGCCAGCTACAGTGTGTGCCACAACCACAATCATGACGACTAGTACTACAGTCTACATGACTACATCAATAATATGTACGGTCAACTTTGCGAATAACGACCTTTGGCGGGGCATCAGAAAAGTGTCCTTATTCGCGAAGTGTCCTTATGCCCGAAGTCCCATTTGAATGTATGTGAACCCATATTTTGTATAGTATGATATGCGTATCAAAATGAAGCTCCTTTCATACTCTATGCCAATGTATACTTTATTTTCATAATTATTATAATTGAAAGGAACTATACAGTCAATATGGAAGGGAAACAGATTGAAAAATTAGCCTTTGGAGCTATCTATCATCATGTACATGTACATGTATGATGATTACTGTACAATCATGTACAACTACATGTAGGTGTGCTGATCTCTCCACTTGCATGTATTCAGAAGCAAAATAAAAAAATAAAATAAAGCACCCCCCCCCCCCCCCCTTGGCTGCATCTTCTTGCATGTGTGCCTTTATCCATCGCCATGGGTTCTGGTACTTCTGCATGACAGGTACTTGAAATAGCTATCAAAAGCCCAGAAAGTCGTTATTCAAGCAGTAAATATGACCTCGGGGCACTAAAATCATGTCGCTATTCGCGAATTGTCGTTATTCAGATAGTCGTTATATCCGAAGTCAAATGCATACAGGCAGATGGAACTTTGCTCTGGGCATGGAAATTCTGTCGTTATTCGCGAATTGTCGTTATATCCGCAGTCCTTATTAGCAAAGTTGACAGTACACAAGTCATGTCATGACTATGATAGTCTGTCCACAATACATGACTATATCATTGCATGCTGAGCACAATGACTTTCATCTTGTTCCTTTTGTTTGCGTTCCTTGACTGGGATCATCGGCTGAATTGTGGGCTGCGGTGAATTTCAAAGATCGAAGACCTCAATCATGTCGTCAATGCAATACCGCATTTGGTAAGTAACTACAAGTAGATGGATCACGCTTCTTTGTTATCCGTTTTGGTTCTGCTTGGTCATTATGAGTGGCTGTTAGAGGAAGGGATCTGATATGAGCGTGTGTTGGTCTTCATGTGTCAAGTTCAGAAGTAGTATATCCTTTCGTTTATTATGAAATGATGGAACGCTTGCCGGCTTTAAACACTTTTGCTTATTCCTTTTTATGTGTGTGTGTGTTTGTGTGTGTGTGTGTGTGTGTGTTTGTGTTTGTGTGTGTGTGTATGTGTGTGTGTGTGTGTGTGTGTGTGTGTGTGTGTGTGTGTGTGTGTGTGTGTGTGTGTGCGCATGTGTGTGTGTGTGTGTGTGTGTGTGTGTGTGTGTGTATGCATTTGCGAATGCGTGCACGTACCTGTGTGAGTGTGTGCATGCGTGTTTGTACTCTATGACCGGGACATTTCGTTCCATGGTTGACGGGATGGCCTCTTTGCAGTTTGATCTTCCGCATGTAAGTAACTAGTTGAACCTGCATCTTTGATAGATGTTATGTATTCCCCTGGCCTAGGAGCCTAGGATCCGGATTTTACAGAAGCGGACTAGTTAGGCATTAAAGACTTCTTCGGGTTTCTTGTGCTGTAAGGAAAGCTGCATGAGTGAAGTCGGTGAATGATAAGAGTGCTGGTTGCATATTCTAACTAATTTCTAAGTACAGTGCTCGCCTATCAAAATCGTCCCAGTGTTTATAGCAGAGCCACGATCTCGCACACACTCTGGGTGTGATATTGCCAGGGCCTTGTAGTACCCGGTGCTAGTTTTCAGTGGGGTGAATTCCATGGACAGGCACTGTAGTGCATTGTACGTACATGTATATTGGAGGCGTTGATTAGTGAATTGTGAAGCTTCACCGTACACTCTCATGGGACCAGTTTTGTAAATACCTGGGTGGAATTTTCTTAGCCCTGGACTATTTCAGTCTTCCCATGTCATTCTTGATCTGTGAGAGATCCACATGAATAAAGGGCTGATATAGGACGGTGTCTTGTTGATTTTATTTCGTTATGTATACAAATGCATTGGAGGTGGGTTAATCAGTAAAATGCTAGTGTTTGGCTTCTGTTGTGGAACAATGTCAGTACAGTCGTGGCCAAAGAAATCCCACCCCGAGTCAAAGTGTTTCCATTTTCATTACATCATGCACGGTCCAAAACCTATATGAGGGTCGCAGGCGCCACATGAGCATTGGCGCTGATTTCGGCTCACTCGTCGGATTTCTTTGTCCACGAGTCTATATCACAGGCATATCTACATGTATTATTGCAGTTTTGTATGGTTTGCTGCTTACCAATGACTTTCATCTTATTCTTTTTGTTTGTGTTCCATGACTGGGACTTGTCGACTGGAACTGGGATCATCGGCTAAATTGTTGAATTGTGATTCAGAAGACTAATGTTATCGTCGTGTCTGGCGAATCTGTAAGTGCCGTATTGGCTCCAGGATCTTTGAAAGTTGTTCTCTTTTCTTATACCAGACATAGAACTATAGAGGGCACTCCTTGTTATCGTATGCATAATTCTGACCTAACAAAAGTGGCAGGATTTTCTTTTACCACTCCGAGTTTCACGCTATGCTATCATGAAGTTAGCGAGTGTTGTGAGTGTGTGGGTGGAATATTCTTAGCCCCGGACGCTTTTAGTCTTCCTTAGTTTTTCTTGATCTGTGACGGAACTACATAATGTGATACTGTATAAGTACAAATTTTCGTTCACGAAATCTTTCGTTATTTCACTCCACCAGCAGGCTTGTTACTAAACTTCGTTTTTGGTTGAGGTCTGTCACCCCCAACGTTCAGAAAAAAAACTTTAGTTTGGTACAAACTTAAAAGTTATTTCGTGCCCCCTAACGAATATAGTGAAAGTGAATTCCAAACGAAAATTTGTACCTATACAGTAGGTTGATATGGGTATTCTGTTGGTTTTATTGCATTAGAGGTGTGTTCATTAGTGAAACACTCCACGGCTCCACACTGCGCTCAAGCAGAAGACATGTAGTTGTGTTAAGATTGTTTTCGTAGGTGCACAGCATGATTGTTTGTCTCACTACACAGTTCTAACGTTACAATTAGTGTCTCGCCCCTGTTGCACTCAGTTCTCACTACACTTCTAGTGTCTCACCTTTCTTCATTCTATTTTAGCATTTTGTTTTGCTCTCGTAACACATTATTGAATGTATATTTAACAGGGCCGTCGCACACGGTACGGTCACTACGGTATTGACCGTACCACTATTTGCCCCAAGTACCCCGTGAATCAATAAACTGCACTGATTTGGGCTCTAAATGTCCTAAATTTTCGGCCCAGCATGTGATGATATTGGAACTCTATATCATTTGGTGCCATTAATGATCCCTATGCATACCGGTATAACTATATCCTCACGTCCTAATATTTACACCTGTCCATATTATGTGAAGAACAGGTTGGTGCGACTTCGGCGATGGTAGGGGAAGAGTGTGTTGCTCCCTACATCATCGGGGAGCTTGCGGTTTTTCTGCCGACTTGAATTCTCACTTGACTGACTAACAACTGCCATCCAGAGCACACGAGAAGTCCATCGAACCTTCGACTCGGCAAACCTACAAGAAAGCACTACTCCCTGCTCAATACACAGTGTTTTTTTTCGGGGAATTTACCCCTCATCAGTTGAGCTTGAGTAGGCTGAGGAAGATTGTGCCTGAAGAGCACCACTTATAATGCTCTCCATGCACAAACATCACCAGGAATACAAACTTACAGAGACTAATGGAGGAGCTGAACGGTCCCCAGCGCTTGTTCAGCACCTCCATGAGCGACACTGACTCACGCTGCTATGTGGTGTTCTCGAGGTGTTTGTCGCGTTGGAAATGGAGCATCTCTGTAAGTTTGTAGCTCAACTGATGAGGGGTGAATTCCCCGAAACACTGTGTATTGAGCAGGGAGTGGTGCTTTCTTGCAGGTTTGCCGAGTGGACGGTTCGATGGACTTCTCGTGTGCTCTGGATGGCAGTTGTTAGTTAGTCAAGTGAGAATTCAAGTCGGCAGGAAAACCGCGAGCTCCCATGTAGGGAGCAACACACTCTTCCCCCATCCATATTATGACATTAGTACTACTTCTCGTACTACCGGTACCTTTTCTAGTACTCACATATTGTACAACTTGATAGTTTCACACACCAAGATAAAATAACAAGGATGACAGCCCTTCAGGGTTAGTTGTCGGTTAGCCGAACGAGAGTGAGTTGTTGGTTTGTTCTCTCCTTCACATAGCCATCCCTCCCCCACGAGTAAATTGTACTTCAGATGGCTGACCGTACCACACTAAAATATGTTCCGACGCCCCTGTTGAATCATTGTTCAGCGTGGATACTCTTCAGTCACGACGTTCCATTGATGAATGTGAAAGGAAAATCGATTTTGGAAAACTTTCATGACTTTGTTGTAGTGTGGCGATGACAGCAGAATTTTTTCTCTTTATTGCTATTTTAAAATAGTAGATAAAGGAATGAATACACACAATTGTACACTTTCTACAGAGAAAGGTGGCATACCTAAAGAAGGTGATGGGGACAAAAGTTCTAAAGGTGATAACCATGCATACACATGGCGCTAGAATTTAACCATGTGCATGAAGAAGATGACTAGAGGTTGGCACTAGCGTTGCAACACATACATGCATAATGATAGATTGAAATGACTGGTTCAGTAGAAACGTGACGGCACGGTGAAACAAACGGACATCGTCACGTCACTATGACTAGGGCCCGGTACTAGGGGTGTGCGGATAATGCTCGAAAAGGTGGCATATTCTGCTCGAAAAGCAGTGAAATTGGCAGAACCATACAAACCTTATGGCGGGCAATTCCTCGAATTCTCCTCCATTTCTTTATCCACATACCAAACATGCATGAAACTTACCAGAAAAAGTACCGAATTCTGCCAATTTTTCTGCCAGCATTATCCGCATATGCCTAACTATGACTGCCGGTTGTCAACACTTTTGCTTATTCCTTTTGCGTGTATTTGCTTGCATGCATACGTGCGTGTGTGTTTGTTTGTGTGGTATGCGACTGGGACATTTTGTTCTATGCTTGATGTTGGCCTCTTTGCAGCAGCAGTCTGCCGTAAGTAACTTTGATAGCTGTTCTGTGTATTTACTGTGAAAATGCCGGTGTTGTGCCCAATCAATCAATTTTGTAAGCCTGGATCTGGATTTTATAGAAGCGGATGATAATTTACCATCAAAGACGTCTTCAGCTGTTCTTGTTTTTAAGGACAGGTGCTTGAGTGAAGTCAGTGATAACAAAATGCACAGTGCTGGTGGGACACACATACACATGGCGCTAGAATTTAACCACGTGCCTGAAGAAGACAATTTATTGATTAGAGGTTGGCACTAGCATTGCAACACATACATGCATAATGATAGATTGAAATTACTGGTTCAGTAGAAACGTGCGAACACGGTGAAACAAACGAACATGGTCACGTCACTATGACTGCCGGTTTTCAACACTTTGCTTATTCCTTTTGTGTGTATTTGTTTGCATGCATACGTGCGTGCGTGTGTTTTTGTGTGCTATATGACCGGGACATTTGTTCAATGCTTGGTGGTGGCCTCTTTGCAGTGGGAGTCTCTCGTAAGTAACTTTGATAGCTGTTCTGTGTAATACCGTGAAAAATGCCGGTGTTGTGCCCAATCAATCAATTTTGTAAATCTAGGATCTGGGTTGTATAGAAGCGGATGATAATTTACCATCAACTACGTCTTCAGCTGTTCTTTTCTTCAGGACAGGTGCTTGAGTGAAGTCAGTGATTGATGAGGGTACTGGGGGTTTGTTCTAAGTACAGTGCTGCCCCGTATGGGTGTGTCTTTAACAGGCCCCAAATGTAGCATAGGCAAAATATTCAATTATTCATAAGCGATTGCCTACATCTTCCAGCCATTCATTTTCTGGACTTTGCTAATTAGGTCTGTGTGATCGAAACAGCTGCCTGATAGAACGCAATGCCTACTTGAAATCTCATTTTGCTAATTATCATTTGATATCATTGTTATGGTGTTGTGTGCAGCGTAAGCAATTGGAGGAAATTGCCCTTGCCAGTAAGTTGAGCATTTCTTAAAAATGGTTCAGATACTCATTGGTGCTAGTTTCCAATTACATGGCTGGGGTTCTAGGGTCGTAGGTGTGTACATACCCGGTTGGGTGTTCATTGTGTGCTATACATGCGCTTTTGACCCATTTAGCCTCAATTCATGGCAAACAATCGCTTTTCCATTTTCTTCGCTTTGGGATTGAACTAACGACTAGCTAGATCTCTGTCAGAAAAAAAGGTTTTCGTAAGAAATGCCTTCAGGGCCCATTTCATAGTGAAAACAACAACAAACACAATAGGGTCCTGCACACTCAACACCCAACCGGGTCTACGGGATTCTACAAGATTAGACGAGATTCTACGGGATTTCGTGCATCTGTACAACGTGCATAAGGCTTATTGCTGTCATTGAGCACTGTACTGTACGACAAACATGCACCCGTACTGCCGTACAATAGTCATGTACAGCATGGCCGGATTGCTCAATCTGTTTCAGGAATACAGAAACTTGCTACTTTAGTTATAATATAACCTTCGGATGAACGGACCTTTTCATAATCTTTTCCGGCTGGGTTCTATCATTGTTGCCTCAAACTTTGATTTCCAAAACTTTTCCTATGTAATGAGATTGCGTTATTGTCTACCTTTGTTATGCCCATCAAAATTACAGGGCTCCGACTCTTCAAAGCTCAGCTCTATGAGTATGTGCAAGCACAACTCCAAGCAGGAAGGATTGCAAAATGTGTTGTGGGTGGAGTCTCTGGATCATCGAGCAAGCGGCGGGGAAGAAAGAAAGGTGGCTGCGCCGGAGGAGGAGGTGGAGGAACGTATGCGCTCGGGCAGAGCGAGGCGTGGACCATGTACTTAGTGAACCGCGACGGCATAGGTCGGCCGGTGCCCGTTCCGGCTTCGCTTGCACTGGGCCGGCAAGCAAAGCTACTTTGAGCACTACAAACGCTGATGTTTGTAATGTACTCATCACCATGACAGTATACCGAAGGTCCCTTGAACTTGTGTTCCGCTCTGCGAACACGCTTCACACCAGTATCACTGTAAGTAATACTCGGGTACAGTTGATCGAAGAAAACAGAAAACGGGAAAAAAAGAATATCCTTGATTCAAGAAAAACGGATAACGTGAAAAGGAAGATCCTTGATTGATGAAAAACAGAAAACGTGAAAACAAAAGAATATCCTTGATCAAGGCCACAGACTTGAGTAATCAGAGCCACATGGAGAGAAAAGCTCTTGTAAAAGACTTCCCATGACGATGGGACATTTCTTCCGAGATTTCCAGTGTCCTTCACCCGTTGGCGCTGGTAATGGCATGCAGTATGCCATGCATGCAATGAGCCTATGATGTGCTCCACTGCACCATAGACACTGGTGTAGGCGCATATTCAACATACTGAACTTGCCTCGGACAAGCAGAATGTTATTTCCCAGCAGCAGACTGGATGGGCCTCAGTCGATCAAAATAATTTTTGTGTTTTTTTTTTGCCTAACGTATATCCTGACTACATGGCTGTCTTATTGTGTCCCCATACATTTCTTTCTATGATGCCGCAACATTGCCCTGGCATCTGAACAACCATTTCCGTTTAAAAATATATTGTAAAACATGCATGATGCCTTTTGTTGGCTCTTATGCCTGGATTTCATTGACCATGGATCCTTCCATAAGTGACATGCGAACTGTACCTATTATTATGCATGTTTTAGAACCCGTCGATGGTTTCAGTCTTACAGACAACCGTTGTATTCTTTTTATAAAGTTTTGTTCTTCTAGGAATGAGCCGTCACGCGGCTGTCCACGGCGGATGGTTTCCGCCAGCTTCGAATGCGTTGTACGTGTATGGCGGTCCTATCCCACCGGGCAGCTGCATAGCCTCTTGGAGGCTTCTTTTTTCTGTATTTGTCTGATCTCTCAATGCCGCTTGCCTTGCATGTCTATCATTGCTGCTGTTTGTTGATGCAGTATGCTCTTTGCCTGCTGTGCATAAGCCGTATTAAACTTGCCGACTGTGGACGGACATCAGCCTGTCATTTCCTCTGTGCATTGCCAGCATAATACTTCAGAAGTGTGTTGTCTTTCAATGAACTCCACGCTCGCCCGTGTGCTACTCTGCATCATATTCACTTGCTCAAATAGTGCTCAGATAGCGCTCGAATAATGCTCAGATAGCGCTCGAATAGTGCTGAGTGCATGCCGTCCATTGCATCGGCCGCTGGAATGTGTTCTATAGTTCCACTTACACGTCTTGTTCTTTGGCACCCCAGGGTATGCAGGCCTTAGAGCTATGGACTTTTGATGATCATGATGATGATGGTGATAACCTACCGGTGTTGATACTTGTTATATCATGTGACCATTGTCATGTCATGTGACCATTGTATTGCCATGCGACCATTGTCATGTCACGTGACCATTGTCATGTCATGTGACCATTGTCAAGTCACGTGACCATTGTCATCAGTACAACCAGCATGGCAACTCGCAGGAATAGACGACTCAGAATGTGCAGTGCCTGTGCGTGCTTGTAGGAATGGGTTATGCTGGCGGGACTTTGGCAGGCATCATAGTGGGCGCATGCATGTCAGATTGGATTACACTGGCGCTACTGCATGATTTGTATGTAAGCCTCGATAGCGACAGTCTGGAATCCCACACCTACAACTGTTGTAGGGTGCAAGGTCCTTGAACAGACCTGGAATACAGGGTAGGGGGGGGGGCATGTTGGTAGGGTAATACTTTTTTACAAGTGTCACGCCCTTCCGGCCCCGGGGAAATGCAGAGAAATAGAACGTGGCAGACTACCAGGGTGCATGTATATTTCTCCAAACGCATTGGACACGAACCCACCCCGTGGCCTATATTGTATAATTCGAGAGGAATGGCGTCACCTGCACGAGCTTTAATTGTGCCAAAGTAATTTGAAAGGTGTTCCGGGAAGCTGATTCGCATGACCTGTTGGAGGGCAATACTACTGTCGTGGACATGGAAATCCAGTCGAATGACCGGGACCGGCGCCCTCGGCGCGTACATGTACAGAACGTTGAATGCAGTGCACAATCATGTTGATCCGATGCGACCAGCGCGCTGCAGCGCACACATGTACATGGATGTGTGTACCGCTTCACACGGCTGCATGGCCCGCGCCCTGGGGCCGCTAGACGTGCGACCGGATTTCCATGTCCAGGACAGTAGCAGGTAGTTCCCATAGTAACAGTTTTGAAATTGGCACTTTTAAAACTACTTATACAGCATTAGTAGTCATGACAACTAACAGGGTGCTCGGTAGACCGAGGTGTCCGTGATTTCCAGGTCCGGATAAGAGAGATATGGCTCGCCTTTTCTGCAGCTCACACGGTTAGAACAATTTCAATCAGAATAGGGTTGACGGGGAACAGGAAGGAACAAAACTGCCAAAAGATCACGAGATCGAAAGATGATGAGGATAGGGAGGGGGGGGGGGGCTAGGAGTGCATGGACCAGTCACATGTCCATGTAATTTGAACCACACGGCCTCACAGGGAGTGTACAGTCAAATTTGCGTATAACGACACTCAGCGGGACATTAGAAAAGTGTCGTTATTCGCGAATTGCGAAGTGTCCTTACACCCGAAGTTTCATTATAATGTATAACAGTTAGATGGGACTTTGCTCTGGGCATGGAAATTCTATTGTTATTCGCGAATTGTAGTTATATCCGCAGTCGTTACTAGCAAAGTTGACTGTAGCAAGATGCGGTGTCTGTACCAACCAGCGGTGGTTCAACACACTGTAAACAATAAGACACATTGTATACCCTGACATGCTAGGCAATAGAGGTAAAACTGCACGGGTAGTTTACCACGTCAGGGTTAGGCTTTCCCCAAATCGGCCGACCGAATAATCCGCCGAAAACGAGACATGGAAAAATCGCTTAGCTTTTCGCCAATTTTGGATGGTTCCCTTGAGAATCGCCGAAAATCTATCAAATGTTGTTGCAAAGTGCCTCTACAAACGAATGATGTTGCTGCAATGATGACCGCCTAAGCTCTCTACTTCAGCGCTTGTAGTACTACATATATATATATATATACAATGGAAGCGGTCCTCACCAAGAAAACACAATCCGTTGCTACTCCGAGTTTCTTGAGTTTTTCAATCGTCAGGCAACTTTTCTAACTAAAACAGGGCTGTCAGGTCCACTAAAGAAATACACAACCACACAGCAAGGCGCACAAAAAGAAAGCGTGAAGTGTGAAGAGTGAAGAGTTACCGCTAGGTGCAGGCAGTGTAAAATATTGATATCAATTGTCCATTACTGTAACAAGCGCTGAATGGAGCATGTAAATCTGGAGTTAACTAGCGCATGTCTGGCGTCAGGGGTGTAAGGCCATTACGGTGCTATATTTGGCGTTAATCATAACAATAATGGTGCAGTGTGTCTGGTTTCATTGGGCATCAGGTTGCTCTGCCCATGTCCGGTTTTACGTGATTCCGTTATACTTAGCGAGCCGGTATTTGTTTGCATGACGACATTTGGCGATGATTTCACTTCGCTTGTTGAGGCTTTTGGTCTTGTCAGCAGTGAGTATACGCACCTTCTCCGTGGTGCAAAGGCAACATCTCTTCGTTGCGGGGTTGTAGGAGCTGGCCTTGTCCTTGATTCTCCAGGACAGGTGATACTCTTTGTCGTCGTTTTTCTTTTTCCAGAGGTGTTTGGAGAGCTCCGTATTAGTGCGGTACTTTTCGTGGCGGAAGGACATCGTGTGGTTGTTGTATCTTGTTTTGAACGTTGTCTCTGCTGAGCCGATGTATGTCCTGAGCTCATCCTGGCTGGTGACGTGTGCTTCATAGATGATGTGAGAGGCCTGGCAACGTCCTTCCATGGGGCATTCCTGCTTTTTTCTACAATTGCAAGGCTTTTCAGGAGGTTCTTGTATCAGTTGCCGCTTGTTGTGCCCACTGATAATCGCTGCGATGTTGGGCATACATGAATAGCTAACCTTCACGTTATGTCGGTTGAAGATCTTTTTCAGGGGGGTGTTTTTGAAATGCCGGTCGATCATTGTGAGGAAGGCAGCAGCAGACATAACGTGAAGGTTAGCTATTCATGTATGCCCAACATCGCAGCGATTATCAGTGGGCACAACAAGCGGCAACTGATACAAGAACCTCCTGAAAAGCCTTGCAATTGTAGAAAAAAGCAGGAATGCCCCATGGAAGGACGTTGCCAGGCCTCTCACATCATCTATGAAGCACACGTCACCAGCCAGGATGAGCTCAGGACATACATCGGCTCAGCAGAGACAACGTTCAAAACAAGATACAACAACCACACGATGTCCTTCCGCCACGAAAAGTACCGCACTAATACGGAGCTCTCCAAACACCTCTGGAAAAAGAAAAACGACGACAAAGAGTATCACCTGTCCTGGAGAATCAAGGACAAGGCCAGCTCCTACAACCCCGCAACGAAGAGATGTTGCCTTTGCACCACGGAGAAGGTGCGTATACTCACTGCTGACAAGACCAAAAGCCTCAACAAGCGAAGTGAAATCATCGCCAAATGTCGTCATGCAAACAAATACCGGCTCGCTAAGTATAACGGAATCACGTAAAACCGGACATGGGCAGAGCAACCTGATGCCCAATGAAACCAGACACACTGCACCATTATTGTTATGATTAACGCCAAATATAGCACCGTAATGGCCTTACACCCCTGACGCCAGACATGCGCTAGTTAACTCCAGATTTACATGCTCCATTCAGCGCTTGTTACAGTAATGGACAATTGATATCAATATTTTACACTGCCTGCACCTAGCGGTAACTCTTCACTCTTCACACTTCACGCTTTCTTTTTGTGCGCCTTGCTGTGTGGTTGTGTATTTCTTTAGTGGACCTGACAGCCCTGTTTTAGTTAGAAAAGTTGCCTGACGATTGAAAAACTCAAGAAACTCGGAGTAGCAACGGATTGTGTTTTCTTGGTGAGGACCGCTTCCATTGTGTACTAGCTCCAGTGCACCCCAGCGCTGTTGAGCCCTCTTTGCGGTGGACGGGACCACTTCCCCCTGTATATATATATATATATATATATACTCAATCTGCGCAATATATATATATATATATATATATATAATGCTCCCCAACACGAAATGGCCAAGTGGCTAGCTGAATTACTAAAGCCAGTCCTGATTAAATATTCCGCCCACGCAACTAAGGATACTTTCGAGTTCGTGGATGACGTAAAGGAATTTGGCCAGCAGCAGGCAGAGAACTCTGGATCGCTGTTCCTGTGCTCTTTCGATGTCGTCAGCCTCTTTACAAACGTGCCTCTCAAGGAAACAATAGATATCTGCATACAGTCGCTATACCATGATGATGAAATATCAGCCCCGCAAATACCCCAAGATCTTTTCAAGAAGCTGCTTTTCAAAGCCACAACATCAGACGTGCAGTTCAGTTTCAATGGCAATATGTACGCACAGAGGGACGGAGTAGCCATGGGTTCACCCTTGGGCCCCGTGCTAGCCAATATCTTTGTTGGATATTTTGAGAACACAATTCCAGACAGTCATTGGCCCCAATTCTATAGGCGTTATGTGGATGACACATTCGCAGCATTTCACAACCGGAAACTGGCATTGGAATTCTCTGAGCGTTTAAATAATCTTCACCCAGCTCTCCAGTTTACAATGGAGGAGGAGAATAATGGAGAATTGCCGTTTCTTGATGTATTGATTAAGCATTCTTCCACAGAATTGCTCACCACAGTATATAGAAAGCCGACGTTCACAGGTCTTTACACCCGCTGGGACTCGTTTTGTGACACTAGAAACAAAATCAATTTGATCAGATCATTAACTTTCAGAGCTAAAAACATCTGCTCACCATCACTATTATCAGCTGAAATTGCTAAGCTAGAGGATATTCTGTGTTCTAACGGTTACCCACTCAAAGTACTCAAGCGAGTCATGACAAGCGTTCTTGAACCTAGCCCAGATACAGCTTCTGCTCAACTTGAATCTGCAACGCGTATTATCACAAAATTGCCGTGGAAAGGGCAAAATTGCATTGCCTTCCGCAAAAAGATTAAAGCTGCAATTTTGAACTGCTATCCTACAGTATCCCCCATTGTAATTTATACAACCAGACCCGCATTCAGGTCTATCGCGAAGGATGTTTCACCAACTCTTGAAAACAGTAATTTTATTTATAAGTATGCGTGTCGCTGTGAGCGGACGTACGTTGGTGAGACATGTCAGCGATTCTCGGAAAGGATCAAGCAGCATATCCCAGACAAGCTGTACAAGAAGCCGCCTGACAAACGTGTGGCAACAAGTGATAGCGCCATCACAAAGCATTTGCAGGCGCAACCTGAATGCATCCCGCAAGAACGCAACAGCAGCTTCAGTGTGATCACACCAGCCCGGAACAGCGCGCACAGATTCACACTGGAGGCGCTGTACATTCGCAGTTTGAGGCCAGAGCTGTGTCGACAAAAGAAGCACATCAAGGTGCTACGGCTGTTCAAGCTGCAACCGGACTGACAACTTTATCACGTGTTTGTTCTGGTACTGCATTCCCCTCATGTGTTGTTTCCCGCATTTTTCCACTGCTCCATACATTCTTATGGTAGTGTAGTGTGAACTTGAGGCGCGTAAGAATATTCTTGCTGATTCTCTACCCCCAGTATAAGTTCTGGCTTCGTTTTCGTTCTTGCTCATTCCCATGTAACTACTGATGAAAATGGGTGAAAAGCTTTTAGTATTATGAAATTGACAACCTTGTTGTTGTGTGTATATAAATTTTGTTCGCCTACATCTCTATTTAAATATATATAATATATATGTAGTGCGTTGAGGTCGTGTGACTCATGTCCTTTGACCTCCTCTCCAACAAACATTAGCCATTAGGAAGATTGTTACTAGTAAAATACTACACTACATCGTACAGTTGTGGCTAGTTCCACCTAGCAGAGCTGTATTTCCAACATCTCACCAATTTGAAGCCAATATGCCAACAATTCTTTTAGATGATTTTCCAATATACTGTAAATATACAAATTTTCGGCAGCTATTTAATTTCGGCTACAGTCAACTTCGCTTATAACGACATTCGGCGGGGCATCAAAAAAGTGTCCTTATTCGCGAAGTGTCGTTATACCCGAAGTCCCATTATATGTATTAGAGTTGGAAGGGACTTTGCTCTGGGCATGGAAATTCTGTCGTTATTCGCGAATTGTCGTTATATCCGCAGTCGTTATTAGCGAAGTTGACTGTATATTCGGCACCGACCCAAAACGCCTAAATTAAAACGCCGATGAAATTTTTCACAGCATCTGTCGCACTATACCATGCCCTCTACCCCACGCCGAAAATAAATCGCCGCCAAAATGTCAAAAATCGTGAAGTGCCGAAATTTTGTATATTTACAGTACTGTATTCCAATTTTGCAGCCGATTTTGGAACAATCAGCTGATTTTGCAGCCATGTCTGATGTATTTTTGAGCCGAGCGAAAAGTCGAATAGGCGAAAAAACGGGCCGATTTGGGGAAAGCCTAGCCAGGGTCCGTAGGACTCCGTATGAGCCACCGCGCTGACGTGAATATGGTGGCATGAGCCCCGGCTTCCTTTAGTCCATTCATCAAAGATGATCTCTAGTCTGATTCTGGGGAGCTCCCGTACTAAATACGGGAACTTGATTTTGTTGATTCTGTTGCTTTTGTAGCACACCTTGCAGTGCCGCGAAATTTGAAATAAAAATGAGTAACTTGAAAGGCACCTCAACTGGGGTTTGAACTCCACAGTCATACTGTGCAGTGCCGTTGCAAGTGGAGTGAAACGGCCTGGGCTTGCATGGTTTATGGTACATGTCGTTTTCCCCAATCCCGTGCTTTTGGGGCAAAACCTGGTCGAAACTTCCTATTCTTGCTTTTTGGAGACATATACATATACATGTACTTCGGAAAATCTGATACCGGTTGGAAGAAGAGTCGGCGTGGAGAAAGCAATTAATTTTTATAAGTGCAATGAAGAAAATGAGAGATGCAGCCATGCAGATATAATGTTCTTTTCGTATCATGTGACCTTACAGTCAGTTCTGGCACTGTTCACTGAAGAGCGGAACGCGAAAAATCGATTTTGAATGATAAAATTCTTAAAAAAATCTTAAACTCGTTTTTGTCTGGCCATGCCTGCATTTCTCATTTTCTTTATTGCACTCATAAAATTGTTGGAAGAGGAAGAGCATTCCATAGGGGATTGCAAAAATCTGATAAACTCAAACGGTTCGACCCATTTTATACGTATACGTATATGGCCAAAACGGCAAGAATATCATCATTCTTTTTATCAAGAGTACGAGAGTACATTGTACACGTAACCAGGACCATGGGTCGGCATTGGCAGATAATGCTCGAAAAGCAGTGAAATTGGCAGAATCATACAAACCTTAAGGCGGGCAATTCCTCGAATCCTGCTCCATTTCTTTATCCACATACCAAACATGCATGAAACTTACCAGAAAAAGTACCGAATTCTGCCAATTTTTCTGCCGGAATTATCCGCATATGCCTAGCCATGGGGTTACGACTCTTGTCTTCATGAATGGACAGCAGCCAGGAGTACCGAGTCCCTGTTGGACAGTGTAGCAAGTGATAGGACTATAGGAGTGAGCGGATTATTCCCGGAATATTTTGGGAATACTATATTGTTTCGCAATCTATACCTTCGCATGCAAAGATGCAAATCCACACAATCAAGTAGACACTTCCTTCTATCAAAAGTTCTCAAACGTTTTTCATCGCGTCCAAACTGGGAATTTTAGGGGAATTATGGAAGAAAAGGAGAAGGACAAAAATGCTAATTCGTACGAGTTATAACTAACTGTCCACCAACAGTGGACAACAGTTTTCCTTTTCTTCCATAATTAAATTGACTCACCATCCTATTTCAACTTAGGAGAATTCTATCGATTTCTTTGCCAGATCCATTTTAACATCTTCAGAAGAATTATGGGGGAATTCTGTTGACCTGCCAGAGAACAAGCACGCATCCATGGACGCACGCACATATCATGCATCTGATGAGCAGTACTCGCTTGGACAACACCCGCGTGCGGCCTGAGTGCAGCAATACTACAAATCAGTGATCACGTGCCTGGCCATCCCTTTTGCATGCTAAAGTGCATGCGCAAGGCATGATTCGTGCTGGTTTGTTGGATGGATTTGCGGAATTCTGGAGAATGTTTTCAATGTTTTGGAGAATACTATCGAATTTCCACAGGAAATGCCCAAAAACATAATAATTATCGGGTGCGTATGGGCATAATAATTATTATATTCCGCGCAGCCCTAGCGAGTGGTGCATGGTGAGTGACACCGGGGAGTCGTAAAATACCGTTTTTTTACTACTCCTTGAGTGACACACACACAGCAACAGCTCCCGGCCCGGCCCGGGGCCCTCCCCTGTCTTGCCCCACGTGCATCCAGCGGCATACAGCCACTACTGGCGTACTGCCACTAGCAAATAAATGGACCCTACAGTCCATTTCAAAACTATAGACGCGTACCTGGGCAAAAACCGTTATGCCAGCATCTATACCACATAAAATCTGTGATCACTTTGTGCATAATTTTTTCCAAATTGGGCGTCTGTTATCCAATCCTTTAGAAACTATATGAGAGTAATTGTGGAGCGATCCTGAGCAATATTCCGAAAACTTTTTTCAAAAAGTTCCAGCCAAATTTGAAATATTTCAAAAACCCTACGCGTCTATAGTTTTGAAATGCACTGTTAACAGTGCACAAAGCTAGTGCGTATCACTACAAAAAAACCGTACATCTATGATCTACACTACACTACTACTAGACTACAGTACGTACAGAGACAGCAGCATGCAGTACAAACGAGTAGACGTCAGTGCGTCTGAATGCGAGCTTTGGCCATAGACTGCTCTGCATGGATCTGGAGCCAGTGCTTGACTCCTTTGGACCTTTGAGTTTGAACGTCGTTACTTTTATTTGAAAGTTTGAGTGACTTGACCTTCTGTTTGATGTTTTATTCACGCGAACTACTTACCTGGGTGTTACGGTTTGCCGAGGAACACGAGTCTGGAGACGGCTGGAGAGATTAAGACACTGTTGCAGAGATACTGCTAATACTGTAGCTCACTAGTCTCTAACTGCAAAGGGCTGTCCAAGTCCATCAGATTATTAATTTTAGGTTTGAAAGAAGGTCAGAAAAAGTATTTCCCGAGTGCTACGCCGGCGCCGGCGGTGAATTATGATACAAAATTTAAAATTTTATCACTTTGAAAGCAGTTTTGTTGCTGAGTGGATGCCCTGCAAGTGCGACGTGTTGCAAGCGGAACGACTGCTTCGCTAACTGGGCGATGTCTCGCTGGAGGCGGCAGAGCGGTGGAAAATCCCAAGCTGCTGGCAGCACACTAGCGGGCACCAACAATGGCAGCGGAGCTAGCGTTGGCAGTAGCAGTAGTAGTGGCCCCCTGCTGGACGATCCCCGCGGCGGAGGCGGGCATGGCAGCGCGGCGGGAGCGGGCCGTGGCGCTGTGTCTTGGCAGGACCTCGGTCAGACGCGGAGCCACCAGACGTACCTGGCGCAGTGCGGCGCGTGGCAGGCGGACAGCCGCGAGCTGCGCCGTCTGGTCAAGGAGTACTGCAAGCTGGCGCACCAGGCGTCGGCATGCCTGCAGGACATTACCAAGGTGTTCTGTAGCCTGCTCAAGTCTACGCCCGTGTGGCAGGCGTCGGTCGCCTTCCAGCAAGCGGCACAGGCCAGCGAAGAGTCGGCGCGTAAGTTCCGCGTACAGATGACACACGACGTGCTGGGCACGCTGCGGGGCTTCACCGAGTTGCTGCCGGCCGTGGAGGAGAGCGTGCACCGGCACAAACAGAGCGCCGACGAAGTTGACCAATCGCAGACCAACCTGGAGACGGTGCAGGCCAAGCAGGCGTCCATGATGCTCAGCGCTAGCCCGGGGGCGGGCACGGCGACCATGTCGTTCTCCAATGACAGTTCGGACGGTGCGAGTAGCTCTGCGCTTCGTCTCGGACAGGAGAAGGAGGACGAGGCGCTGTGCAGGCTGCAGGCGGCTAGCGTGTCGTTCGCCGAGGAGGACGGAAAGCTGGCGAGTGTGTGGAGTGCCCTGGAGGAGACTAGAAAGAAAGTAAGGACGCCGAGGGGGGACATGACGCGTGTGCGTTCTGCTGGACGATGTACCGATGTGTTGGGTGGGGTGGGGGTGGTGTTTGTCTGTGTGTGTGTGCGTGTGTGTATGTGTGTGTGTGTGTGCATGCGTGTGTGCGTGTGTGTGTGTGTGCGTGCGTGTGTGGGTGTGTGGGTGTGGGGTGCATGTTTGTGTGCGTGTGTGTTTGTGCGTGTGTGTTTGTGCGTACATAGGCGTATCTATATTTTTCTGCTACCGTACACTCTGTACATTCTTGAATTCAAGTCTTGGACACGTTGGCACAAGCTTCATCAAGTCCACATGCACGTCCCATACGGATCGGCGTAGATTTAGCAGCAAAGTAGAGTCACTCCGACCCTATCATGTCAGATCAGCCTGTAACAAGTCACGAGCCTTGCAGGAGAAACCCTTTGTGTGTGCGTTTGTGTGTACGCGTGTATGTGTGTATGTGTGCGTACGTGTGTGTGTGTGTGTATGTGTGCGTACGTATGTGTGCGTACGTGTGCGTGTTTCATCTCTGTACGTGACCAGCTTGTTGGTTCGGCGCTCGTTTCCTCGATGAATTGCCTAGGGTGGCGGAGCAAGCACGAGTCAGAGCTCTTCTGTGAGCTAGGCAAGTACCAGGTAGGTTAGTCTGTGAACCAGCCATTATTCTAACCAGGCGCATATATAACGATTTCCCAAAATTGACTAGTTTACGTGTACCAAAGGTAACGATTCTCACTCATTCTCAACGCTCAATAGGACAGTGTATGTATCGATTTCTGTATAACAATTTCTATTTTAACGACAGATTTCTCCTCGCTAACTCGTTAGAGTTAGCACTTCGTTAAATTTAAACAATCGACGAGGAGACAATAGTCGTAAAATGGCAATAAATAAGATAAATTGTGCACTCATAACAACAGCAAAAAATGAAGAAAGTTAAGTTCCATAACGTTTTCTTGTGACTGTCATCACAGCCATAGTAGCTACATGTGTATAAGTGTGTGTTTTAGTTATTACATTTTTATGTGACGGCGTTCCACTGATGACAGTCACAAGAAAACGTTATGGAACTTGACTTTCTTCATTTTTTGCTGTTATGAGTGCACAATTTATCTTATTTAATGCCACTTCGTTATTATATATTATGGCTTTTACCAAGAGTACATGAAAACCAGAGTGTGCAGCTCGGATGGGTTGCTGTCACGGCGAAATTCCGTGATTACATCATTTTAGTGATGTAGTGCGTACAAGCAGGATTCAAGCAGGTCTCTTTCTGCACAACTGCAGCTCAGTTGTACGCACTACGCCATTTCCCGCCTCAGATCTGGGCCAAATATGATGTAATCACGGAATTTCGCCGTGACATACACCCATAGCAGAAAAGGCCCCAAGCTGCACACTCTGGTTTTCATATACTCTTGCTTTTACAGTAGTCTGTTACCCTGGGGGTAGAAATCATGGCGATGCGCCCACCGCAAATTTTTGTTCTTGACTTCTTTGTTGTGCGGTGATGACGGCGGAATTTTTTCTTTTTACTGTGCTATTTTACAATATTGTTTGTCTGCTTTTGTTTCCATGCCAGGATATTGGCAGCTTGGAGGATAGCATTGTTCATATGGACCCGATCAAGCATGCCAGTCAACAATGGATGTCCGTTGCCATGGTAAGCAAGATGGTGGAAATGGGCCGAGAGGCAGTACATCACGATACGCCTCTTTTTAGGGAGTTTAAATATGATATAAACTTGGTGTCTAGTGACTTGGACTGTGTGTCTTGTCTGTATGTGCAGATGCAGGTCACCATCATAAAAATTAATGTATTATGTCAGGTACTAGTAATGTTGGGTATCATCATTCATAGTGTAGGGGGCTCATCCAAGGTCTCAGATCAGATCTGATGCGTATGTGCGCGCGCGTGTGTGTGTGTGTGTGTGTGTGTGTGTGTGTGTGTGTGTGTGCATGCATGTATTTGTTCGCTGAGTCTGGCTTTCCCCGCCCGGTGGACAACACGTCTCCTGATCTGCCCCTTACGGGCCACATAGCCAGTCATGGCTGTGGAAGAAGGAAAGAAGGAAGGATGATGTGTTTGTATGTGCATATGTATGTGTGTGTGTGTGTGTGTGTGTGTGTGTGTGTGTGTGTGTGTGTGTGTGTGTGTGTGTGTGTGTGCACAAGTTGCTATGGCTTCTGCTGTAGCATCGCTATCATCGCCTCCGGCGATGGGCGTCCAATGGTCCAATGGTGTGTGTGTGTGTGTGTGTGTGTGTGTGCATGTGCATGTGTGTGTGTGTGTATGTGTGTGTGTGTGTGTGTGTGTGTGTGTGTGTGTGTGCATGTGTGCATGTGTGTGCATGAGCGTGCGTGTGTGTGCATGTGTGTGTGTGTGCGTGTGTGTGTGTGTGTATGTGTGTGTGTGCTCACGACTCCAGAGTAACAGTCGGCTTCGTGACAGGGCGTCTCTCTCGGCTAACGACATCCAGTGCATCACGCTCTGCCGTAACCAAGACGACATGCCAGAACCGATGCGTGACAGCCTCAGCAGTCGCATTGATGAGCTTCTCGAAGTAAGACTGAAAACAACCGGTGCCAGTTTATCATGCTTTGCTCTCTTTGGTCAGATATAGCTGGGGTCTGGGTGTTATAAATCTGCCCTTGGCTGAATTAGGCTAAGGTATGGGTGTTATAATTCCGCTTTTGGCTGAATTAGATTGAGGTCTGGGCGTTAAAAACCCATTTATGGCTGGATTAGGTTGAGGTCTGGGCATTGCAAATCTACTTTTAGCTGGACTGGGTTTGGTCTGAGCATTGTAAATCCACTTTTGGCTCAATTAGGCTCGAATGGGTTTCTGAAAGGTAAGGCACGTCAACGCAGATTATTGCAGAAGTCACAGTGGACGTGAGGGAGAAGAGATTTTAATTTTTTAATGTAACGAAACTCACCGTGTTGTACACATTATCACCTTTACATGATGTCAGGCTGCAAAAGTCGATCTCTGTGACGGTCCGCATTCTCTCTCCTTACTTCTCTATTTTTTCTCTTCTTTCTCTCTCTCTCTCTCTCTCTCTCTCTCTCTCTCTCTCTCTCTCTCTCTCTCTCTCTCTCTCTCTCTCTCTCTCTCTCTCTCTTTCTCTGTCTGTCTGTCTGTCTCTCTCTCTCTCTCTCTCTCTCTCTCTCTCTCTCTCTCTCTCTCTCTCTCTCTCTCTCTCTCTCTCTCTCTCTCTCTCTCTCTCTCTCTCTCTTTCTCTCTCTCACACACACACACACACACTCATCCTGTGCACAGAGCTACATGGCCGAGTTCAATGCACTGCCAGACTCGGTCACCTGTGTTCCAGCCGGGTTTCACCACAATCCCGAATCCATCGAGAAGGCACTGAAGGTATGAATCCTCTGATGTTGCAAACTGCAATCTTGTTTTTATTGTACATTCCTTAGTGCATGCAGCATAGTCATCACGGAGTCTGTTCCCCTCCTCATCACGGAGTCTGTTCCCCTCATCACGGAGTCTGTTCCCCTCTTCATCACGGGGTCTGTTCCCCTCTTCATCACGGGGTCTGTTCCTCTCCTCATCACGGAGTCTGTTCCCCTCTTCATCACGGAGTCTGTTCCCCTCTTCATCACGGAGTCTGTTCCCCTCTTCATCACGGAGTCTGTTGCATCGAAAATAAACATATAGGGCGGGGGGTCATACCAGGCTGGCAAAGGGCTGCCTTTCCGCGTCTGTGGGATGCCAATATCACCCCGAGATCGGGCGTTAGATGCAGCTCCTACAAATCCTACCAACGGTTGTTGCATCTTGTGATGAGCTAACTAGCCCTACGTGCACTGTAAGACCAGTAATATTAACAAACATTTAATGCTAACAATTTGATGAATTTAAAAAATTCATTAACATTTTGAAGTCGTTATATACAAAACGTTATGTACATGTACAGTCATTTGCTGGTTTTGAGACGGAATTCGTTAGAATTTCACCTCACTAACCCACAAAAATCCGGAGTTCGTTAACTTTAATCGACGTTAAAATATCTGGTCTTACAGTAAGTAAAAGCCAAAGTACATGTCTACTCCTGGCCGTGTGTCTGCACCTGTACATCCATGGCCGTGTATTCGAAACGCCGCTAATTTCCTAGTTATTAAAAAAAATGTGAAATGACCCACCTACTGTTGTGGACATTGAACTCAGATGGGATGACCGGGGCCGGCACCCTTGCGTACGCACTGTAAAAACAGACCAGCAGTGCTCTCGGCTGCAAGGCCAGCGCCCCGTGACCACTCAGCATCTCAACGGATTTCTAAGGTCACAACAGTATTCTGTATACGCCATGGCATAGAGTCAGCGTCCACGCGAAAAGTACCTAAATCCGACTTTTGCCCTTTCTGTTGGGCTGGAAATTTTGTTAGTTTGTACTTGGTCTAATCGCTTCATTTTACATACATGTTTCCTCAGTCTCAGTTATAAAGCCATGGCTTTTAGGGGCATCGGATAATTTCATCGTGTGATTTTTCAAGCAATAAACATCGGCTATTTGGGCCTAATCTTCCTACTTGTTTTCCCGAGGGAGGCTCCCGCCTCTGCATTGCCACACCAATGTCGGATGCCTTCCAACACCACTGGCTCTACAACTGAGACTGGCTTTATAATTTTTTCATTTTTTTCATTTTCTGCTTTATTTTTTACTGCCTTTGTAATCGAATTTTCCACGATGGCGTTAAAGGTGCGGACATTCGGTAAAATAGAAATGTGTTCGGTTGTGACAGGATTCCGCTTGGCACAGGGTTCGGGCAGCTTTACTGTACTGGTTCAGACTAGGTGATGGGTAGGTGGCTGCAGTGGAGTTTGCGAATCCTTAGAAGAAAATAGATATCCCCCAGGAATGGAATACAAACCAGGCCCGCTCCACCCGGCAGAAAGGACTAACTACAATTGCGCTCGGCCTACACCACAGTACAGTGAAGCCTGTCTAAGACGACCACCGCTCAAGGGACCTTCAAAGTGTGGTCTCTGTTACCAGGTGGTCTCCTTATCCAGGGTCATTTGACTGGAATTAGCATCCCTTGGTCCTGGCTGCAGTGGTCTTCTGGGCCAGGTGGTCACCTTATCCGAGTGATCGCCTTGACAGGTTTACTCCACATAATGTGTGCCCTGGATCAGTTCTGATTTAATCACTGCAGTGTGTACATGTGTACGTCCAGCTGCATTCGTACCACTTCCAGGGCATCACAGGCCGTGCATGTTGACCGCGCCAAGTATTTACTCTGGGTCAGATATCACCGTGTGCAACTGTACATGTAGCCTGCGGAGCAAGATTAGCATGGCTGTAGCATGGCTGTAGCATGGCTGTAGCATGGCTGTAGCATGGCTGTAGCATGGCTGTAGCATGGCTGTAGCATGGCTGTAGCATGGTTATAGCATGGCCGTAGCGTGGCCGTAGTGTGGCTGTAGCATGGCCGTAGCGTGGCTGTAGCATGGCTGTAGCGTGGCTGTAGCATGGCTGTGGCGTGGCTGTAGCGTGGCTGTAGCATGGCTGTAGCATGGCCGTAGCATGGCTGTAGCATGGCCGTAGCATGGCTGTAGCGTGGCTGTAGCATGGCCGTGAGATACTGGCATGGCGTTAAACCAGGCAGAATCACCCTGTTCCCGGACATGCATGCCATAAAGAAGTTGTGCTGTGCGTGTGATGATAGTATTCCAGGCTAAAACAACCTGAAGGGTGCGTTGATCCGTAACCATGAATTATTGTTTTTAAATCTCTAACTGCTTGTGTTGTGAATGTTGCATGCAGAGTTGCTGCACTGACCTGGAAGCTAAGGCAGCGGGTTTCTGCGGTATGGAGATGACTGACCCAGCCGCACTGCGTCCTCAGATGCTGCTGGACCTGCCACGATCACAGTGCACTATAGGTTAGTCGCGAGTTGGTGGGAGGGAGGGAGAGAGACAGACAGACAGACAGACAGACAGACAGACAGACAGGCAGACAGGCAGACAGACAGACAGACAGAGTGACTGACTGACTGACTGACAGACAGACTGTCAGACAGAGAGAGAGACACAGAGAGACAGAGGGAGACGGAGGGAGACAGAGAGAGAGAGAGAGAGAGAGAGAGAGAGAGAGAGAGAGCTTCCTCGGACGAAGAAGCTCTCTAAAAGTGTCTGCCACGCTAATCCCATCAGCACCACCATGCTCACCATCTGCCATTGACTTTGTTTCTTTGTGTTTTCTATTTCTATTCTTGTCGTGCACGTCGCTGCTACTGCCGCTGTAGGCTCACAGTTCTTTGATTCTGTCCCTTACAACGAAGCCAACGCAGCGTTCGAAGCACGGCTGGTAAGCGCACGCCCCTGTGGGGATGATGTTATCGTCCGTGAACTGGCACAGCTTTCTAGCACATGCACGCCCTTTGTAGTCCCCTAGGTTCTCTTGCTGTCGTTGTTGTTCTCTTCCAGTCTATGTGGGCATGTGTACTTTCATAAAACAAACACAAAAATACGAACTGTATAGTGCCCTTCTCCTAACTCACGGTGTTGTCGGGTGCCGAAGAACGGAGCGGAGAAGAACGACCAGCCTAGAATCTCATCAAGCACAGCATGCCAATGTATACACGGTGACTCAACTGTGCATAGACTGTACAGCATACCAATGTACCGTATTTTTCCGGTTGTAAGTCGACCTTTTACGACTTAAAATAGAAGGAGAAAGGGTGGGGGTCGACTTACAACCGGGATTCGACTTATAACCGGGAACTATCAGTATCTTACAAAAAATGACCTGCACTGCATGCACGAGTGCACCATGTTTACACATTTTGCCAGTTTATTGGCCTTTTTCAAGGATTGGGACGTTATATCCTCCAATAAGGAATGTTTACATGATTTGTTGATGTGTTAGTAGCAGGAGGTGGTTAGTAGTGCTTCTTTGGGTGAAAACTTTAAAACACAGAATTGAGACCTCCAGATAGGGGGGTCGACTTATAATCGGGGTCGACTTACAACCGGTAAAATACGGTATACGTGGTGACTCAACTGTGCATAGACTGTACAGCATGCCAATGTATACACGGTAACTCAACTGTGCATAGACTGCACAGCATACCAATGTATACACGGTAACTCAACTGTGCATAGACTGTACAGCATGCCAATGTATACACGGCGACTCAACTGTGCATAGACTGTACAGCATACCAATGTATACACGGTGACTCAACTGTGCATAGACTTTACAGCATGCCAATGTATACACGGTAACTCAACTGTGCATAGACTGTACAGCATACCAATGTATACACGGCGACTCAACTGTGCATAGACTGTACAGCATACCAATGTATACACGGTGACTCAACTGTGCATAGACTGTACAGCATACCAATGTATACACGGTGACTTAACCCTTTACTGTCCGTACATACAAGCATCGATCCAATGGGATCGAAGGGGTAGGCATTTTGAAATTATCGTAACTTGCTCAAATCTAGGTCTTTTGGAGAGATCGAAATATGTAGGTTGAAGAGAAAAGTCTCAGCTCTCGCCTCGAACAATTCCCGAAGCGATACGAAGAGCGGTTGCTGAGTTATCGCACTCGTAATTCTGGTCCCGGGAAATGTGCGTTCAGAGCGCGACGCGCATGTCGACGGCTGGGATTTTCCCTGTTTACGTCACCTGTTGGCAAGGCTACACCGATTCAAATTCGAAAGTAGGTTCCCGGGAGTCTCTACGAAAATATTTGAGCTCGATACGAGCAACAGGGGTGACATGGTGGATTGAGATCGATCTCGAGCGTGAGCTCAGCGCTTTTGCGCGTTCCCTGGCTTGCAGCGCTGGACCAGTGCATCCTGTGGGGCCGAGTGTGGGCTCATTGCGTTCGTCTCGTCAAGACCTTTCCAGGATGCCCAAGATCGTGGAAATCGTCAAATTCAAACCAAAGTTACGTCTAATTTTAGTTTCAGATTTTGTGGTTGCGTGGGCTTGTATACATTTTAATCGGACAGTAAAGGGTTAACTGTGCATAGACTGTACAGCATACCAATGTATACACGGCGACTCAACTGTGCATAGACTGTACAGCATACCAATGTATACACGGTAACTCAACTGTGCATAGACTGTACAGCATACCAATCAGGGAGTCGTACTCAAACTAGGGAGGTGACACGGCACAGAAATCCGTGTCACAGGGGTTGACTCGCACCCGTGACCCCTCGTTGTTATTTTTGGAATAGCTCAGTCCAGTCCAGTCCGAAAGGTCATACTTGGATCGACTCGCCTTCTGTACTTCACCTCCAAGCGTGCAACGCGAGACCTGCAAAGTATGATTTTTCTGTGGGGAACGATTTTGCCATTGATCAAGTTTTCATTGGAGTGCCCTACAGCCCCCTACATTGTATCCAACGACGTAGGAGCTGACAATGTAAGAGGATTTCCCTGGAAATAATGATGATGGTGGTGTGACTGCTGCAGGAAAAATGCTGGCTGTTTATGACAGTATGACTCGATGTACAATGTAGCTCTCTTGTATGGTACTTAACCCCTGCTATAAATGTGGTGTTTAGGAAGACTGGTGTATTGTGCAAGTCATAAAGAAGAAATGGGGCAGATACACGACTTACAATTTTCAAAAACCAGCTTCGTGTTATGTCTAATTTGTGTCAAAATTGTAGTATTTAGACATGACAATATCATTGGCTGTACTTCTCTAATATGGTACATAACCCCTGCTATAAATGTGTTATTTAGGCAGACTGGACCATTGTGCAAGTCATAAAGAAGAAATGGGGCAGATACACGACTTACATTTTTCAAAACCTGGCTTCGTGTTATGTGTAATTTGTGTCAAAATTGTAGTATTTCAACATGACAATATCGCTGGCTGTACTTCTCTTATATGGTACTTAACCCCTGCTAGAAATGTGTTGTTTAGGAAGACTGGTGTATTGTGCAAGTCATAAAGAAGAAATGGGGCAGATACACAAATTACAATTTTCAAAAACCAGCTTCGTGCTATGTGCAATTTGGGTCAATTTTTAGTATTCGGATTAACCTAGGATACGACTCTGAACAGTTCTGAACAGTTACCGTGACACTACACGCCGTCTCATAACTGCTGCTGTTGCCATCACTGCTATCAATTAGTTCGGACATGGCAGGAGGTAAACAAATTGCTGGTAGTCTTTCAAAGAATACTGGCGAGTGATGGGCTGTAAACGAAATGTGCTGCCTCATTAATTTCAAAAACTAGACACCCATGCGGCACGCTTGGAGGTGAAGTACAGAAGGCGAGTCGATCCGAGTATGACCTTTCGGACTGGACTGAACTATTCCAAAAATAACAACGAGGGGTCACGGGTGCGAGTCAACCCCTGTGACACGAATTTCTGTGCCGTGTCACCTCCCTAGTTTGAGTACGACTCCCTGATACCAATGTATACACGGTAACTCAGCTGTGCATAGACTGTACAGCATACCAATGTATACACAGTGACTCAACTGTGCATAGACTGTACAGCATACCAATGTATACACGGTAACTCAACTGTGCATAGACTGTACAGCATACCAATGTATACACGGTGACTCAACTATGCATAGACTGTACAGCATGCCAATGTATACATGGTGACTCAACTGTGCATAGACTGTACAGCATACCAATGTATACACGGTGACTCAACTGTGCATAGACTGTACAGCATGCCAATGTATACACGGCGACTCAACTGTGCATAGACTGCACAGCATACCAATGTATACACGGTGACTCAACTGTGCATAGACTGTACAGCATGCCAATGTATACACGGTGACTCAACTGTGCATAGACTGTACAGCATACCAATGTATACACGGTGACTCAACTGTGCATAGACTGTACAGCATACCAATGTATACACGGTGACTCAACTGTGCATAGACTGTACAGCATACCAATGTATACACGGTGACTCAACTGTGCATAGACTGTACAGCATGCCAATGTATACACGGTGACTCAACTGTGCATAGACTATAGTATTAGTACATGAAGATAAGAACGGTCTGGGCTTAGTGGGCTACAAGGCTGACCCCCCCCCCCCCCCCCCAGTTCTACGGTGCAGTATACTGTTCAGTGATGCATAATGATGCCTGCCTGGTTCTCGTGAATAAAGGTTTGTTTGCACTTGACTGTTTGATTGAGCATCTGAGAAAAAAATGAGCTGCGAATCGGTTGGAAGAGGCTAAGACTGTCAGGGAGAGGAGTCCGCCAGTGCCCTCGCTTGTTCAGACGCGAGTTGGGTTTCCGCTGTGTTTGAATTTTGTGCCTGCCCGCTTGTGCATTTTGTGTACGTGCGCCCCATGTATGTGTGTGTGTGTGTTTGTGTATGTGTGCGTGTGCGCGCGTACGTGTGTGTGTGTGTGTGTGTGTATTTGTGCTTGTGCTTCTGTAGAAATGCGTCGAGGACCTTGTACGGCGAGGAGAGCAAGCGCTTGCAGCAAAAAAACCAGACAAGCCCAAGGCTGCGTTGCGTAGCTACGATCGCCATGACCTGGCCGAATTCCTCCTGAGTCATACTTGCAACACGATCACAAATGCCGCTGCTAAAACCGCCGTGCAGCTGGTGTTTGGTAAAGCGTATTTGGTAGGTGATTCCCGATGTGAACTGCTGTTGGTCTGGCATGGCTTGTGTGTGTGTGTGGGGGGGGGGGGGGGGGGTATTTGTCTGTTTCTTTGGCCATTCACACATGCGCACACACAAACACACACACACCTTGGACGCGCTGCTATATTCTGGCTATGAGGAGCCCATGGGGGGTTGAGCAGGTTCGGAACAGTAGGGGTGATGACGGGATAGCAGGGCTGCCACGCTTGGAGGAGAAATCTGACGGGGGTGCGGGGGTATCCCCCGGCGGGGGTGCAGGGGGCAATGTCCCCTGCAGGGGTGCAGGGGGCAGTGTCCCCTGCGGGGGTGCAGGGGGCAGTGTCCCCTGCGGGGATGTAGGGGGCAGTGCTCCCGCGGTGAAATTTTTTAGGAAAATGGCTTGCTGTTGGACGATTTCGGAAAAATCGGAGCAAGTCGCAGCCCTGGGATAGGTCCTGTGGTCTACTGATACGCTGACCGCAATTGCAAACGATGCAGAAGGAGCTGCGGTCTGTGTTGGTTGCTCTGGCCGAGCCACGGCTACACTTGTGACGCTTCATGCCTTGGCGCGATAGCACACAGCGGTTGCAGCGGGCGCAGTGGAAGCCGCAGCGTTCGCAGGACATATTGTTTGTAACTGGTGACTCAAGTGTGTCAGAAGATGCCTCTGCTGGTGATGTTGCTGGCGAGCACTTGTGTCCGGCAAATCCACCCTTGCTCCGGAACCATCTGTCGCACTGGTCGCAGTGACAACTTCCTGGCTGTTGGCTTACGGGCACACACACACACACACACACACACACACACACACACACACACACACACACACACACACACACACACACACACACACACACACACCTACACACCTACACACACCTATTCTCCTACCGTTGTGCTTCTGTGCCTTGCCCTGTTCAGGTGTTGGTCAAGCCGAGCTCTGACCACCGATATCAGCGCGCCTCCACCATAGAGCTGAGAAGCAGCCAGCTCACTGTCACCGTACCCTCCATGTGGTGAGCTCCGACTCTAGCTGGCTATGAACCGTGTGGAACCCTGCAAGACTAGTACTCCTTAAAACTCCCCTTTTTCACGCACGTCTGTCTATCAGGCACCTATCTGCCCTCTCTTTAGAGTGTCGGCTGTTCGCCGAAAGTGGGCCCCGAAAACATTTGATTGGCATAACAAGTGTTTGCTTGCATGCAGCAAGTTCGTATGTTCCGAGTTACTGGCTATTCCTAGTTATGGGCAGTCCCTGGTCCCAACCTGCTCGGATAAGGGGAGGAGGTTCTACTGCACCAGACCCCGGTGATTCAGGTGTACGTACAGTGACGCCTAAGACGACCGCTCAAGGGACCTTCAAAACGTGGTCTCTACTGAGAGGTGTTCGTGTGTAGTCATGTTACTCTGACCAGTTACCACCCCCTGTTGCGTCATCCAAAACCTAGACACGTATTGGGCTCGTGGTTGTTTTATTCTCCAAGTGATTGACTCTCTCTCTCTCTCTCTCTCTCTCTCTCTCTCTCTCTCTCTTTCTCTCTCTCTCTCTCTCTGTCTCTCTCTCTCTCTCTCTCTCTCTCTCTCTCTGTCTGTCTGGCTCTCTCTCTCTATCTCTCCCTCTCTCTCTCTCTCTCTCTCTCTCTCTCTCTCTCTCTCTCTCTCTCTCTCTCTCTCTCTTTGCGTGATTCTCCCCCCCCCCCCGAACAGGTGGCTGGTGGAGGATGCACCCACATTCGGCCCAGTCCGTGTCAGCAGTGACCTCACAAAGCCGCTGGGTGTCGTCAACGCTAACTACACGCTCTCCGTGGATATCAGCACGGCCGCTACAGCCACCTCATGGTATGTTTGTTTTAAAGCGAAGTTGGGGCCAAAGAGAGAGTTTATTTCTTTCCATGAGAAAATATATACAGAGGCCATTTTTACGATAAATGATTTATATACACAAAATGCATGCACGAAGTCACTACACGTACACGTCATCTTCCTGCCATTTGGTTCCGTGGCGCATGTCCATGTACATTGTGATATCAGCTCCCAGTGCATAAAAGATCTTGACCTGTGTATGCTCATATACCGTACTGTGCACAATCCAGCGCACCGAGTCTGACCCGAGATCCGCGTTGCTGTACGCCGTACTGTGCTGCGTGACAGCCTTGATCTAATGGTCCCATAAGCCCATTGTGCAATCATCGGACGTAATTTGTACCATGAACCTCCCACACAGCCGCCTGGTCTCTGCCAGGTCTCTGATCCAACTTACTCGGTTGATGTTGGAGGCCATGCATGCAGACTTTATGTGTTCTTGAAGGCCGGTTGTAGTAGTTAGCAGCGGTTCCCGCATGGGTTCCATGCCAACGCGTAGTTGCCGAGGCTACTACGGACGCTTGTAAGCATTCACAAACTCAATTTGCTACATTGCAGTTTGTGAATACTTATAATGATCCCATTCATCCGTACATGTACTGTAGTAGTAACCATGGTAGCAAACATTGCATTACATTTGCGAAGGACTAAAGGGACCGTCACTTAATTTTTGCCGACTACCCGCCAAAAAAATCTTTTCGTTTCACGTGATCAGACACGTCCGCGAGCGCGTACGACTCGCGCGCGGGCGCCCGCGCTGCCTTTCACGTCAGGCAATCTGTTCACGCCACATGGCTGGATAGCGCGTACATATGCAAACATGATTGAAGACTTGTATTTGTAAAATCAATTTTTTTCCAAGTCCAGGCGCGGCGCTAGGCCTAGCTAGGCATTTATTTTCGGAGAAACACTACTCATTGTAGTAAAAAGTAACAATGAATAGCGATAATTATCATCTAGGAAGGATCGCTACCCTAACGCGAAGGAAAGGCCTTGCGCGGCTGCTCTACGAAGTGTTGAAGAAAGACTCATCAAAGTCAGTTGGTGGACGAACAACTCGCTGGCGCCGGAAAACTTGGCCCCCAACGATGGTGTTTGGTGAATCATCAAGCATAATGTCTTGTAGCAGTGTTCACCGAGGAAGGAGAACGCTCTAGCCGCTGCTGTTGTCCGTTTCATCCACGTTGGGCGTTAGCTGCACCGCGCCTATTGTGTTTTAGTATTCCATGGACACACATTAGCATTCAGAGCGATTGTGGAGCCACAATTTACTTCACACAGCGTTGTATTGTCCACGAGCGCAAACTAACGTTACTTCATTATCAGCAGTAACTGTTACTCTTCATCCTACATGTAGACTTGGAGTATACACGGCCTTGTCACGACAGCGACAGCTCTACAGAGTGTTCAAGTGAGAAACATTAATTTCTAATTTTCTAATTTTCTATTGTTGGTGGACGAATAAATGGCTGGTTCCGAAAAAACACGGCCTGCACCGATGGTGTTTGGTGGATCATCAAACAGGGTGACCAGCAGTGTTCACCGAGGAAGGAGAATGCACTCGCCACCACTCCGATTCATCCAAGTGGGCGTTAGCTGCGCCGCGCCTATTGTGTTTTAGTATTCCATGGACGCACACTAGCGTTCTCAGCGATTGTGGAGCCACAACATATCTTCATGCGGCGTTGCACTGTCCAAGAGCAGAAACGTCAGCAGTGACCCATCATCATACATGTAAATTTGGAGTATACACACCATGCGCCAATGGGCCTTGGCACAACAGCGGCAGCTCTACGGAGTGTTCAAGTGAGAAACATTTGTTTCGACTTTTGGTGGACGAACAAATCGTCGGTGCCGGAAAACTTGGCCTGCGCCGATGGTGTTTGAACCATCGAGGGCTCCGGAAGCAGCAGCTGAGCCAGATCAGCCAGTCTTGCAAACTCTCAGTTGCCGGACTCCGTGCTGCAGCTAGCAGCACTGGCATCAGCCGGAAATATTTTTCCGCCGATACCCGTTACTTCCAGTTCTGTCAAGGGCATAACTGGAATCCATTGCCAGGTGATGACTTTTTACTTTATGTGTTATTTTGCTGCCGAGTTGTTCAGAACTTTTCAGCCCCGATCTGTCCATGTCTACATGTCGGCCATCCGCAAACTTGATGTGGAAGTTGGCTTTACCTACCCGTCAGGCCCAATGACTCTCCTCGCAAGGTTCCTGTCGGGCATCAACAGGTCATCATCGACACAGCGTCATCGCCTGCTGATAACCCCTCAACTTCTCAGGGAGATTAGCCGGCATGTTGCCTTTCCACGGATGTGGCACCCTCATGACAAGGTCATGCTAAGGGCAAACTGACTGCTTTATTTTAGCTTTACATTACCGCAGTCAGTCCAGCACAATACGCCAATCGTATTTCACTATTACTCGCGTGTCATAATTGGGGATATGGGCTGCTCCGCCCTATATCCCTGATATGCCAACTGGACGAAAAGTGTGTTCTGAGCCTGTATCGCGTATAATAGGCTCATCGTAAAACAAATAATATAAGGCTTAAAAATCAGGGTTCACGTGACACTCGGGTTCCAGCCAAGTTTTCCGCATCCGCAGGAACGCTACCCCCCCCCCCCCCCCCCCCCCCTCTTGAATCATAGCATAGTGGACTCTGCAATGAACAGATTATGAAACTCCCTGCAGATTTACTACAGTCATTTCTGGTGACTGGTCTTGGGGCACCGTGGAAGCTGTGACTGGTTGCCAAGTTTTGTTTTGTGACTGATCATGGGGCATTTGTGACTACTTCGAAGCACAGCTCTGATTGATCAGAGTCTTACTGTTGTGAATATTTATATCGATTGAGAAGTCAAGCAGCCACGGGGCGCTGGCCTTGCAGCTGTGAGTATGCATACGGTACATATTCACATGACTCCATTGTATGCTGGACACTGCTGGTACATTGTTGCAGTGTGTAAGTGAACTGCAGAACCTATTCCGTGATGAAACACCTACTCTTGAAAGACTGAATGTTTGAGCTAATAGTCTTTTACTTCACTCTCATGCTGCTCATATAATTATACCATACGCCAGAAGACCCTAAGTTAGTTCTAAGATTTTGTGGACCATGTGACCATGTGGTACTTTCACTCTACAGCCAAGTCAACCTCTTCGTCAACACACAGGGTTTTCCTCAGACACAAGCGAATGGTTTACTCCACTCTGGAGAAGAACAAAGTTTGCTCTCTCGAACACCGACCGCAGATAACTACGGAATGTACTTCAGAAGTAGGAAGTGCAACAGCTGCTAGAATATTGAACTGTCGTCCACACAAAACAAATAAAGACAACTGAAAACCAAAACACATGCAACTGCCAACATGCATGTAACAGCAACTGCAAGCCAGAACTACAGACTCCGCGCAGGGAGGAACAGGGGAAACAGAGGTAACGCTTCCGACTCCGAGAGCTTCGAATAGCAGCGGACAAAACAATCCAATAGTGAATCCATCAACCTTGCGTGTCACCTTGCGCTACCGCAAACGAACACCTATGGATGCACAGTGCAGCACAGACTCAGTGCATGCACGGTGTAATAACTGGAGTACATGTAAACCGACAACGGTCACCTTGCACCCTATGCAGTAAGTTACAAAGGCGGTGCCAACAAAAGAGCAGGGTTCGTGTATCGTGCACACTCCAATGGCACAGCAGAAAATGTTCTCACCAATAGCCACTGCTAGCTGTTTTGTCATCTTGCTGTGCCAAATGATGCTGTATAGACTCGCCAAGCAAAAATGGACTGCTTATGAGCGTGAACAGGCTGGATGGGGTGACTGATGGACTGTCGGAGTTGGCGTACCACAGAAATCGTGTCGCATCTCTGTATGCTGGGTTGGCACTGATTTGTAAAATGGCCTTCTCAGTATCGCAGGTCATGACGATTGGTGGCAGGCAAAATCGTAGAACAATGATGAATTGCCTAATGGCTAGGTCGTTGTTAGTAAGATTGCCTGAATCCTGGATGTCAACACAGTCTAGGTCCCACAGATCTGGGATGGTGCAGGAGTCGAAAGTTGCATCAGTTAGAGAAACGATAGCTGGCATGGCTGCTCATCGGCGTAGCTGAGTGCTTGGAGTGACATGTTCGGCCAGTCACCACAAAACCGACTGTGGTAGGCAGAAACTGTAGTCCTGGCGGAAGTCCTCTGGTGCTCCCCGTCAAGACTCCCAGAGGAAATCTGCACCGATCAAGACGACTGACTATCTTACGGTCAATGGCGATACTGGTTGATGCTGCACTAGCTGCTGTTGCGCTAGATGCTGGTACCTCGTCAGCCACAGGCTGGTCAGCTACTATGTTGGTACTGCTGTCAGATTTCTGTTGAGATTCAGGGCAGATCGTGACATGATGGTGACTCTGATTGGTGACCCATGCGAGAACACACATTACACTTGCGGGTGGCCTTGCACTGAGTTGACTGGTGCCCTGTGCGCAAACACACAAAGCAACGCTTCTGTTCAATCAGTTATTCTTTCCGCTGTGCTACTGTTGTGTATTTCGCGCAGCTTTTGTCCAGGTGAGATCCGCCGCAGAATGCACACCCTCTCATACTGCTGGCATTCCAGTTAACATCAGACCGCTTCCTTCTGGTGAACTTGCATGCGCCTGTCACCAGTGCACCTGCAGAATAGTGAGTGACATCTTCTGCTGTAGTACCGCCTGTGTTTGTGCGGCGCAGAAAGGCGTCTTGCATGATAACATAACGTTTCAGTGCTGTTCTGAAGTCATTCAGTTTCCATTGTGTCCCTGCATCTGAAAAGCCTCGCGATTCGTCCAGTTGAATCAGCGTTCGGCATGATCCGTATCTTGGTCACAGCACCGTGTGATGATCTGGTGACATCAGACGGATATAATACACAAGAGACAATTGTGACATTTCTACGTTGTGTTTACTTCAGATACATAATCTAAATGAAAGGGGGGTTGTCAACCGACAACCGCTCTATTTAGTTGCTTTTCACTCTTAAGATGAAAATTCTTTTATTAATTATGTCGAAAAATTATGCGGTTGTCAGTTGACAACCACCCTTTAATTTACACTGCAGTTGCGTGATGTCCACCACTTTCTGTACATAATCTAAGAGTACTAAAACAGCCACTGACTTCCAACTACCAAGGGAAAGCCAGCCCAAGCGCAGGAGAACCGTGCGCGCGCGCGGGTACGTGACATATAATATCGTAGTAGAGCTGGCAGGCAAGGCATGATCAGGGTTTCAGGCCCTGCCTGTAAACGCTCTGATTGGCTCAAACCCTGGCAACAATCACGTGACATGTCTGAAAGTACAAGTAGTTGCGATTTATGCTGAAGTTCAAACTGACGGAACACGTGCAGCGCTACACCATGAACCGTGTGGAAACAAAAATAAGTAGAGGAGACACGGGATAACAGACATGAACTCAGGGTCAAACTGATAACTGTGAAACGTGAATGCATGCAGTATATGGAGACAAAACAAAGTCACAGAATTCAGTACGTAACAAGTACTACACACTAACCTCGTACATGAGAATGTCACGACACCATTTGAATTAGCTCTTACACCCCACTTATGTTTCAGTCAGTAAGAGTACACATGCGTACTTACGTTGACTCTATTTTATTTGACTTGTCCAACACCATCGTTGTGAGCCTTCGGCACTTGGGAATACACAGGACAGATAAGATAGCAGCAAGAGCATCTCCCCGCTCTGTGAACACAGCTCAGACGCCATGCTTCATGTTTGTGTGCCCATGGAATACAAGGACACAATAGACTTGGTGCAGCTAACGAAATGGAGGAACGGTCGACGGCCTGAGTGTTCTCCTTCCTCGATCAACACTGACAGTCACCACATACCATGCTTGATGTTTCAAGCACCATCGGCGCAGGCCACGTTTTTCGGCACCGACGATTTGTTCGTCCACCAAAAGTCGAAACAAATGTTTCTCACTTGAACACTCCGTAGAGCTGCCGCTGTTGTGCCAAGGCCCATTGGCGCATGGTGTGTATACTCCAAATCTACATGTATGATGATGGGTCACTGCTGACGTTTCTGCTCTTGGACAGTGCAACGCCGCATGAAGATATGTTGTGGCTCCACAATCGCTGAGAACGCTAGTGTGCGTCCATGGAATACTAAAACACAATAGGCGCGGCGCAGCTAACGCCCACTTGGATGAATCGGAGTGGTGGCGAGTGCATTCTCCTTCCTCGGTGAACACTGCTGGTCACCCTGTTTGATGATCCACCAAACACCATCGGTGCAGGCCGTGTTTTTTCGGAACCAGCCATTTATTCGTCCACCAACAATAGAAAATTAGAAATTAATGTTTCTCACTTGAACACTCTGCAGAGCTGTCGCTGTCGTGACAAGGCCGTGTATACTCCAAGTCTACATGTAGGATGAAGAGTAACAGTTACTGCTGATAATGAAGTTTGCGCTCGTGGACAATACAACGCTGTGTGAAGTCAATTGTGGCTCCACAATCGCTCTGAATGCTAATGTGTGTCCATGGAATACTAAAACACAATAGGCGTGGTGCAGCTAACGCCCAACGTGGATGAAACGGACAACAGCAGCGGCTAGAGCGTTCTCCTTCTTCGGTGAACACTGCTACAAGACATTATGCTTGATGATTCACCAAACACCATCGTTGGGGGCCAAGTTTTCCGGCGCCAGCGAGTTGTTCGTCCACCAACTAACTTTGATGAGTCTTTCTTCAACACTTCGTAGAGCAGCCGCGCAAGACCTTTCCTTCGCGTTAGGGTAGCGATCCTTCCTAGATGATATCGCTATTCATTGTTACTTTTTACTACAATGAGTAGTGTTTCTCCGAAAATAAAGTCAGCTGCCTGGGCATTACTGCCATTAGGCATTAGTACCGCCGGCATGGGCATGCCTAGGCCTAGCGCGTGGACTTGGAAAAAAATTGATTTTGCAAGTCTTCAATCATGTTTGCATGTACGCGCTATCCAGCCATGTGGCGTGAACAGATTGCCTGACGTGAAAGGCAGCGCGGGCGCCCGCGCGAGTCGTACGCGCTCGCGGACGTGTCTGACACGTGAAACGAAAAGATTTTTTTGGCGGGTAGTCGGCAAAAATTAAGTGACGGTCCCTTTAGTCCTTCGCATTACATTTACTGTACATGCAGTAGTAACCATGGTAACATACATTACATTACATTACCTGTACATGTAATAGCAAGAGTCCATGTACTCTTGGTAGTAGTAACTGACATTACATTGCATTTACTCAAACAGTCAACCAGGGTATCGACTCCGAGATCTGCTGAAAACGTTGCACGGCCCACCATCTGGGCTACACAGGAAAAGTTTTTTTTCTTCTTTCTTTTACCCTGAAGGTGAGTCATGCCCGAAATTTAAAAACTCATGCAATTGTGAATCTGAACTGGGGGAATGTACAGTGCTGCCAACTGAAATCCGACCCCCTCAGCGGCGCGCTCACATCGCAATCACCCAACACGGGATGGTAAAACTACGAAGCAGAGACTGAACCCACCGCTCAGGTGGTCGGATTTCAGTTGCCAGCACTGTATTTGCTGTAACTGTAATTGGATACTATATACAGTCAGAAAGTGCAATAACTAGGTACAAAACTGACAGAGTACTGAGACATTCGACGTCCCGACACCTAGCACAGTGATGGAGAGTTACTCTTAACTCGTATCCATATTTCCTTTTCCTTTCTACATTTATTTATGGCTCAACATCCGAGTTTCAAAATGATAATAATAGTTACAGTTCGCATGTTACTCATGGAAGGATCCATGGGCTTAACGCATCTGTGACGTCATTGCTTTGATTACAGTATTTTCCCTTTTCCATCCCCTCGACTACTGAATACTTTGACTGTTGCCTCAGAAATTCTGTCTCATGTCTGGTCACCATGTACAGCCCATTCTCTCATTGTCTGCTTATTGTCACAGTTGGCGGCTAAACAGCACAAGCTTCGGCCGACATTAGTGACATTAGTGGTAAGCCTCATTATTATGTTGCAATGGGAAAAATGTAACTTGAGTCTGTTGACGAACTTTTACATCAAAACATTGCCGGACCCCTCCACTCTGCACTGAACAACCACATCCCTGTCATTGCGCGACTTTACTACTGATGCTGCTCTGGGGCCAATAGCTACATTCCCAACCAAAAATATACTTCCCGCTCCACTGGCGCCAGCACCGATGAGCATATTTTGTGATTCGTTTACTAGTGTTGGTTTCACGCACATGTACATGTAGCTGGACGTTACAGATCTGGTGCTTGGGTCATTCCCTTCCGCCAAACGAATATCCGTGCGTGTACCATACGCTGTGCTTCACAGCCTCGTACTACTTTGTGTAGAGGGTTTGCTCTTTCGGTAGTTTCCAGTTTGCCTTTTGGAGTCTGCTGGAGCTTTGTTAAGATTCAAACACGTACCAGTACCAATTTGATTTTAACTAGTTCCAATACCGCCATTGGTGAGTGATGCAGCCAATGGGCTGTGGTCTGTATCTCAATTTGAAGTTGTGACGTGCTGAACTCCACTTGTGCCATGTAATGCTACACAAGAGTACGCCATAGGTCTGGAATGGGGGTCTCCGGATATGTTTATCATTGAGCAGGTTAGAGGTGTAACATACTAATGTTGTCGAGTCGCACCCTCTTTGAGTTGGATAACTTTCGCTGTGAGCTCATCAATTGTTGTCTTCATGTATATCATTTCTTGATCCTTATTCGGTTCTCTCAGAAGCCACTTTGGCAGTTAGAGTGGAAAGTGTAGTGGACAGATTATTTATTATACTTTTGAGAGCATCCATGCCTGGACAGCCATGGAGTGGCAAATGTGTTCTATTTCCGAAGTTCCAACAAGGTCCGGGCGGGGTAATGAGCTCCATTTCTCGATTGACAGTTTCCTGCGCCAGCTGGTGGAGTGCTAAATGCATGAGCAGTGTCAGATCCATGTTCTGGTTTAGGGCCATCTTCAAACTGTTAGATACTGATTGGGCCAAAACTACAGGGAAAAGAAAGTCTTACAGTCAATTTCAAAAATATAGACGCATGGTATTTTTGAAATATTTCAAATTTCCCTGGAGCTTTTCGAGAATTTCTTTCGAATATTGCTCAGGTCCTTCCCCCAATTACTCTCTTATAGATTTTTAGGCGATCGGATATCAAACACCCAATTTCGAAATTTGTATGCAAAAAATGTGTATGCACAAAGTGATCACAGATTTAATGTGGTATAGATGCTGGCCTAACGGTTTTTCAAATCACGCATCTATATTTTTCACTGTAGAGGCGGAGCTTCGAGAGTGAGGGGCCAGATGCTCCTGAGTGCTGATAATGGAATCAATTGTAAAGTTTTTTTCTCCTTGAGAAAAGGAAAGGAGGGTGAGTGAATGGTGACTGAAAAAATTAATTTATAGAAAAGAAAAAGGACCAAGGAACTACAAGTTACGATATAATGCCCACTAACACCACCAGTTACTAAACAATCAGCTCATGCTATAACATTGCACGACGGTACTGACCGACGGTACTGACGTTCTACAACTAACTGGCTAACAGCACTAGCACATCTTGGATGCGCATTCCAACTGCCTTCCAACTTGGACGGTTCTTAGTTATAGAAATAACATAAGAATAAGGAGGGGAAGGTATTAGTGGACATTATAACGTTACTTGCAGTTCCTTGGTCCTTTTTCTTTTCTATAAATTAATCCTTGGCTCTCCATCCGAAAAATTTAATACTAATCCTTTTAATGAAAAAGAAGAAGGACAAAATGTTACGAGTTAATTGAATTGGCTCACCATCCAAATTGAAACCTTTTTGTTTTGAGAAAAAGAAAACAATGGTTAACCCCCGATCACTGGGAAACCGTTGCCTTTTATAGTGTGCTATTTTCCTTGGTTGACGGGATAATGGCCATGGGATCCTCATAATCTAACGCTCTTTGAAGCATGGAGGAGCAATCAATTCCATGCTCAAGTTATTCGCTAGCAATTATAGACAACCGCTGGTGGGAAGCACATGCCAACCGTATGCTTTCATTTGTGTATCTGTGTTATTGCATGGGTATGTGGATGCGTCGTATCCTGTGTTTCAGCAAATACTGGTCAAACGACGTATGGAGAACCGCAAACGCAAGACACATCTAGTGGTGCGTCTGCTTGCCCCCCCCCCCCCCCCCAGGCAGTGGAAAAACGTCACTACTCAAGTCGTTGCACAAGCGTCACACGCTCTTCGACAGGTTGGTCGACTTCCTTTGGCGTGATCGGGGGGACCGAATCGAGAGTGCGCGAACCCGCGGAATCCAGCGCTTTTACCACGAAGGCATCGTTTTTCTCGATCTAGGTGGCCAATACCGATATATGAGTAATCACCAACGCCTGACAAAGTTTTCCACCGTCCCAGCAGTGAATATCATCACTGTTTCTAGCGTGGAGACAAAGGTATGTGAACGTCATTCGGCTAGCAAGTGGTGCAACTTCATAGCATGCAGCTGTGAAGATGGTGAGGAGAAAGGCAATGGGGAAGGAGGGAGCGACAAGACAGCCAACAAGGTGCTCATGGTAGCTTCCCGGCGAGACAAGGCTGGAGAATCGCAGCGTGATGTAGTCAGCGCCGAATGTGAGCTTCTGAAGGATACAATGGGCGATCATCTTCAGTTCATGGACCAGCCTGTGATCTTTGTCAATGGTGTTGACGAGAATTGCGATGGTGTGGCAAAGGTGCGAGACATCATCGAGGAAATGAAGAGATAGGTGAAGGTGAGAACTATATTGTTTTAAAGGATTTATTACACTCTGAAGGCACTGGTACAAGTGGAAAACTTTGTTTGTAATGTAGCATCTTCTCTCTGAAGGTAATCCGAAGAACAGCAAACTCCTGGGTAACGTTAACAATATTCCCATAATGCAATGAATAAAACTATAATTATGCGCACTCACATCACAACCATAGCAACGACTAAAGTGTTCCAGAAGGTTTTCTTGTATGGAATTCGTGACTAAAAGGAACGGTGAAACTACAATAGGATTTGTACACTTGGAGTGAAAAAACGAGGATACTAGAACAACTCAGAACAGAGAAAACAGCACTTCTTCTGTAAAAGTTTTTTCATGGCCAAAGTGGTTGGAGCTACCTTAATGCACTGACGTACTCTCTTTACATACTCAATGAAGTTTGGTGCGTCTGTTTCATACCTAAAATTTCAACACACCGAACAAACACTAACACACGTTATCCAATAGGGAACTGGTCCTCTGTACCTAAAATTTCTGTTCACCTAACCTGGCCTGTTGCCCTCATACCGAAAATATTGAGTACCGAAAATTTCTGAAATTCCGAGTATTTATCCAATGTATTGTGGAGTGAAGCTTCCCTGTACGTGCTTTGTGACTACACTCGACCGTCTTTTATCCGGCCACCTTGGTACCGAGCACTGCCCGTACCTCAGGATACAAAAAAAGTTCAAACCCCCAGAAGCATTTTTGCCATAGGAACTCAATCTGAAGGTGCCCGTATCTGTGGCGTCCGGATAAGAGACGTTTGAGTGTAATTGCATTGTAGCGACCCTTTGTTTCTCCTGTGTGTCCATGATGCAGGAACTAAGATGGTGTTCGCTGGTCTCAAGAAGAAGAGCGAGCGCAAGGGTAAGTGTACATGGGCAGTTGGAGTTTTTGTCCTTGGTTTGGAACTGCAGAGATGATGACTGTGGAGACCTGTGTAATTAGTTGTGTCTGAACTCTACGTTGAAAAATGCCCTGCTGTCTGATGATCACGTATGAACACGTGCAACTTGGCAGACAGCCATATGCCTCGGGGTGCGGAACAGTATTTCAGCATTGGAGAACACTGCCTGCTTGTTGAGATGGGCTAAAGTCATCCCTCTTTAGTCCAGAACGATTTTCAGTAGCCAAAATGTCCTCTTCATGCACTTTGCAGCAGTAAATCAGATTTTCTAATCCCGCGCCCTCCCTAACCCAGCACGATTTCCGTAGCATAAATGGTGCCGGGTTATAAAGGGACCACTGTACACGTTGCTTGTAAATTGTTCATGCTCGTTCCCTGGGTGTTTGCTTTGGCTCTCTAACTCGGCCGATATCCACTATGGTCTCTATTGTGAAATCTGGGCTCCTATGTTTTCAACCCTCCCTGGCCCAGAGCTTCTATTGGATACTGTTGGTGACTTTGTTCGAGTGCAATTTTAAAAGACCCATGGCCATCTTGTGTGTCGGTTTGGTGTGTGCATCATCCATAGTAGAGAGGTTCCGGGGTACGATTTTCAGTGCCAAAATCCGTATGGGCTCTACGAATTTTTTCGAGGTGTGCTCAATACGATTTTTTGGCACGGAGAATCCGTGTGGACTGGCTTTCATACGAACCATGTTTCGTATGGAGATTTTGCGTCATCGGGTGCAGAAAGATTTTTGCGTACACATTTGGTACGAGAAACATCGATTTTCCGCGGGTAGTTTTGATTTCGGTACAAATCTTCAAAATAAAAAGGCATAGCGCGGGAACGTGTGACGTGTTTGCGATCGTAACCTAGGCAATGACGGCAAACACATAAGTTCCGTACTCCGGAACATTTCACGGCTCGAAAATGACGTATAAAAAATCCGTAGCACCTCTACGGATTTTGGCACGAAAAATCGTACTCCGGAACCTCTCTAATAACACTGCAGGATTGTAGCAGTGATGATACGATGTGTTTTGCTCAGCTCCCCCAAACTTATGGTCATCGTGTGTGTGTGCTTTGTATTCTCCTTTTGCCCAGATCTGATTGCATACATCAAGGAATCTACCGCCTAATTATTTATCATCCACCATCTGTCTATCTGCCTTCATCTTCAAGTCGGTTGCACGCTTCGGCGCGTTTGAAAACCTAGCCGGGTCGCTTTTCCACACCTGCCAATATATTTGGAATTTATACGAAAATTTAGTATTCTCTGACTTTGTTGCCTGGCTGTGTCTAGCAAACCATTGTTGCTGGATTGTGAGTTTATTTGCTGTTTGTTTCTCTCGCAACAGCCAAACTCGTTCCATTGCGCATCCGAAAGCATTGTCAATGATCACCTAGCAATTCAACCAGTCGAGTCTTCACTGGGCAGCTGGAACCTGCTGGCAAACATTCTCAGCATCGCCCCAAGTGGGCTGATCGCCAAATGCAGTGGGGTTTTACTCAATTTCATTCTGGTGCTGTTCTCCGGTCGTGTGGCGTTGCTCTTCAGTGTCTCTGGTGGCTGGTTCCTTTCTCTGTGAGGCATAGCAATCACACAAATTCCATGCTGCAAGTGATGTTATCTCTCCGGTTTGGATTTTGTGTCCGCTCAGTGAATCGTGTGTACTGGCTGTATATGCAGGTACATGTAAATGTCAGCGCACATGCATTGTGAATGTGTCTCTGTTTAAACTCAAACAAATTCCATGAATTTATATGAAAAAATGCACGACACTGTCCAACAGTGACAGTGTCAATCAACTCTAGCACGTCCTGGATGCGCACTCCAACAGCCTTATCGACTCGTCATGACTGCAACGAGTGGGTTTTAGCCAAGTACGTGCGATTTCAGCTGTGCTACAGAGAATAAAACCGTAAATCGCGCCTCTTTTTGTCTTTGCGATTCTTCTCAAAATTCGAGAATGTCTCACCCATTCTTGTTGGAATAAATATTGATTGATTGATTGATTTTATGGTGGCGAAACATACCAAACAACCAGTCGGATCGGCCCATTGATTTTGGCATATCCATTATCAGCATGACACAGAACAGGATCGAGGGTAACCAAAGTGCCAAAAATTGGCTTTGTTCAAGACAACCATCAGCTTCGCTTATTTTTTTTGTCTTCTGCTCCAAAACGTACAAATTTTTCAAATATTCGCGGCTCCATTGTAAAGTCTTTCGGAGAATGTTTTGGCATGGACTTCGTGAACACAACCCTTTGCTGCACCCATTCATCACTTTTAGTGTCTGTTCTCAAGGAAAATTTTGCAAAAATCATTGCCAGTAATATTATCAGAAAACTTTTTGAAACTGGAAAGCAGCCGACTCGTGTACAGTGTAGATGGGTTGTGAACGCCAGAAGCTAAATCACGCCGTGTTTCACATGCGTTCCAATGAACTCGTTCCCGTTGACGTTTCACGGCATGCCAATCAGGGAGCCCTACACATACACATATGTGTAGGGCTCCCTGATGCCAATGCCGTAATGGTCCCCATTGACAGTTACTACATTGTAGTTGTAGAACATCGGTGCAGTACTGTCGCCTGTTACCGGTATATACCGTAACGGCGTTGGTCAGTGTGCAATTATTTTATCGCATGAGCCAGTCCGACTGGCATGTATTAATTATTATGTAGTGGTGGTGTTCATGATTATAGCGCAACTTGTTCCTTTCTTTCCGATAAATTAATTTATCCTTGGCTCTCTATCTGAGTTCAATCTTGGCTTAGTCTTGCACTCCTGATGTTTCACTGTGTTGGTTCGCATCATACCTTACTGACCGGCAGCAGAGAGTTGTCACCAAGTCAAGCAGAGGTGCCTGTTATTCTGCCTCCAGAGGTGTACCTAAGGATCTATCCTTGGACCCGTCTTGTTCAATCTTGCTGTCCGCAAACTGCCGGAGTGTGTTGCTGATACCAAGGTCCGTCAGTTTGCTGTTGATCATATTCCGCCCAAAGTCCAAAGCGGTCCCAGCTAATCTCTAATTGTCAATTGACAGCACTAGCATACCGCCTTCAGCCACGATCAAATACCTCGACCTCCTGTTCGACGAGCATCTTACGTACCGAGATCCTGGAACGCAAGATAGGCACTAAACTTGCTGTGTTCAGGAAAATCAAACACAATCTAACAACTGCTGCCACACGAGTCTTCTACTGTTCCTTCATTCAGGCCCAACTTGAATACGGCTCAAATGCATTTGCGCTGTCTCCAAGTCTCGCAAATGGACCGCATTACTCGTATCTCTAACCGTGCTGTTCGGATTGTCTTTGGCTACCCGAAGTACTACGATGCTTCTCTTGTACTAGCTAGGAACTATCTCGCTGCTGTCTCCCTTAGATATCAATTTCGCCTGTTTGTACTGGTGTTTCGAGCCCTCCATAAGTGGTGCAGTCCACTGCTATCGACCTGCTTCCTCCCTCGCACTGCCACTTCACAAACCTCAGCCCATACACGCTCTCAGTCCACTTTGTCACTTAGTCTTCCTTTATTTTCTCGCCGCTATGGTTTATACTCGCTTAGCTTTCTTGGTTCTGATCGTTGGAACGCGCTTCCTGCTGATATTCGCACAATCTCCTTGCTCAGAAACTTCCGTTCATCTATTCAACAATTCATAGGCTAGATCTACCCTGTAAAAGGCCCTAGGCCTAGCGCCTGTGGGACTGCTCTATTCGATTTTTTTAAATAATAATAATGTGCAGAAAACAAGGGTACCGGTATACAAGTTAAAGGGGCACTCCGGCTTCATTTTCGACGCCGAGTTTTCGATGCCAAGACGAAGGTAGGTGAAAGAGAAGACCCCTCGAACAAGAACGAGTATACAGAAGCGATCGAGTCGAGCAGGAAGACGACTTTTGAATTTCGCCGAGCGAGCGCTGATGACGTAATGAGGGATTAGCTTGCCAGTGGAAATGCATCTGCGCACATACATTTCACACACATTTTGGCCAATTTTCAATCGAAAAGGAGGTTGTTTGCTATGTTCTCCGAACGTCGTGAGCGATCCCGCCTTCTATACCCTTCCAGGCACCCTGAAGGTCCTCCAGAGGAGAATTTATCTCCAGCAAAGCGTTGTTGATCCGCTAAATTCGTCTCGAGACATATTCACCCAGTGGATGCAGTGCTTAATGTAGAATGTTGAATCTGTGATAATTGTCGACGATGGAGAGAGAGGTTGATAGCCGCTGTCGCAGGGAGAGTGAAGCTGCTGGAAGTAACAATGGGGAGCCCGTTTGTATCACCTGAATAACCAGACTTCAAAGCAGCTTGACCAAATCGGAGGGTGCCTCGTAACGTTGCTTATCGTGAATATTACACCGACATGAATTACTACAAGTATACTGGTGAGTTTTTATCTTATTTTGTTCGTATGCTAGTACCCTGGCCTGGAGTTCTTGTTAGCAAATTCTTATTCCCTGGCGTTTTCTAAACATTCCGTGTAGTACTGAATACGTGATCAAGTATTCCGATTTGGGTAGCATATGATGTGGAATTTGGACATGTATTTTATAAAAAAATTCTATTTTCCGAATAGAGCGTTTGTAGAGAAATGGTTGCCCAAATACAACAAAATTGATTCTGCAGTTCTACAACTTGCACTGAAATCCAGTCAAAGTAAAAATGATTCTTCATGACAGTTGGGGTCAATGAAACTTTCTCTCTGTCTGAGACTGTCTGATCCAGGCATAACGAATGGTGACGCCTGCCACCTCCGGAACGAATGCCCATTTGGTGGGGGATACCAAAGTACTCGAATGTGGTGCGTGTTTCAATGTGGCATTTGGAAGTTTTATATGATCTCTGGTCAATGCAATATACGATATCCATCATGAATTGCAGGCCTCGAACGCAACTAAGACCAGAGTTGGCAGTTCCCTAAGTCAGATGCTTTATTATTCCATGGCCCCAGCTGTAGTTACACAGGTTTTTTTGCACATTATTCTTGAAGTCGATAGATAGATACTAATGGCCACAAACAAACAACGGCAGTTCAAACTTCACTGATGTGTTCATGAGCTGAGAGATTTCTCTCCACTATTTCTGTTGTGCACACAGGTCTGTCCAATATGCATTGACCGTATTGGGTATGGCATCTGCTCTGAGAAGGGAATCGCTGGAGCCACAGTCCAACTATACAGGCTTTCAAGAAACAGAGAGGAGCCACCTTTGCAAGCTGATACCTGATGTGTACCGACAGAATTCTCACGAGATACCTTACGGACTACGTGTGGTGTATACTTCATAGTACTCCTTCGACTACTGTCTAGAATCAAGTCGACTGAAACAAGTTCAAACAGCTCTGGCTTCAAACGAGCCGTCGATTAGACAAACAAAACATTCTCTCATATACTAGAGCACTCTGACAACTCACAACCTATTCCTAACGATTGCCACCGCTTACAAATACAGTCAACTTCGCTTATAACGACACTCGGCGAGGCATCAAAAAGGTGTCCTTATTCGCGAAGTGTCGTTATACCCGAAGTCTCATTATATGTATTACAGTGGGATGGGACTCTGCTCTGGGCATGGAAATTCTGTCCTTATTCGCGAATTGTCGTTATATCCGCAGTCGTTATTAGCGAAGTTGACTGTATGTAGAGTGCTGATTGGAATGTGCTCACAATCTCAACAATTCAGTGCTATAATTATTTGAACAATGTGTTAGATATTATTCCACTTTTTCTTCCATAAATGTTGTATCCACATATAATCCAAAGTGCTGCAAAGTTTCAGAGTTCTCAGGATATCAAACAAAAGTATTTCAAATACAGTGAAATTGTTCGTGGACATTATAGCGTAACTTGTAGTTCCCTGGTCCTTTTCTTTGCTATAAATTAATCCTTTGCTCTCTCCCGGCGAATCCAACAGTGAAATTGTTAGTTCATATTTATAATGTGGGTATGTGGGAGGGGAGGTGGTTAACATATTTCTATAGGGGACCTGCAACTGTAATACCACAGTACAGTAGCCGGCAAATGTGTAGAAAACAGATATGCATGTTCCCATCATTGTACATGGACGGGCGCAGCAGGCCGAAGCTCTCAGCCACAACAGGATTTACAATCACCTAGAGATACTTGAGCTATTCCAGTATTCTCCGTGAGCTGTCCCAATCCACAATGGTTCACGCCACCATTATTTCTGGTAGTGTCCATGTGCATAATTCCAAGACCACGGATTCTTCAGCAATTGAAAAAAGACAATGCTTGACTCGGTCACTGGGGCTGTCAAACTTCCGATCACAAATGAACTTCAATTTCTCATCCACAGCTGGGCGAAGATTGTGGCGTTGAATTCCATAGCGCACCTTCTTGCTGCCATGCAGGACTATGTTGAGAGAAGTGAACATATTTTTACTAAAAACAACAGCCACTAAAGAGGATAGCCTTGGGTGAATTTCCTGCAGGTACACTTTGTTAGTAGGTTCACTGGTCGGTCTCCATATCGTCAAGTTCAGAAATCACCTGTACTACTACACATCTTGTGGAAGGGATCCTGCTCGAATAATTTTCTGGTCATAAAATTCACTAAACTGAGGGCGAGACAAATAGTCAGTACTCCCCGATTCCGTCAAGCTGCTTTGAAGTCT